TCCAGGAAGCACGCAGAGTTGGAGAAGTTTTCAAAATTGTGTATTTTTCAATCTACTTTAATGTTGTGTTTTTTTAATGAGGTTTAATATTAAAATACAGAGGTATTAAATAAACTTCCTCTTTTCATTGCATGTGTCAACCTTGTGCAAAATGCACTTGCTCTCTTACTTCCTGACTTTTTACCAGTTCCCATAAGCAGAATGGTTTCATCCTCAGAAAGCATTCACCGATGGCACACATTGTTTTAAAATGTTCTCTACTTGCCTCAGTTGTGTCTACTCCATCTTTTGGCTTATTCAATCCTGGCATACACCTATCCATTTCTTCTCCCTGATCTCTGGTCAGATTTGAGTTGTCAAAGACAGGCTGCAAGGGGGTTGGGAGCTGGTCTCAACTCTGAGACAGTTTTACTCATTAGAGCAGACCTTGTCGTTTTCTGCAGATTCCCACAGCTATTCTCAGTTCAGCACGGGATGGACAAAATTCTTAGACTCTAGGTCATGGGTCAGCACATCAAAGTTCTGGGAAGACCTGTTTCTGTAAAGAATTACGGCTGTTGAGAAAGAACCAGGAAGGAGTGAGGGAAGCAGTGAATAGGCTTCAGGGAACTGGGGTGGGGCTGGATTCCAGCACCACAGAAATACCCCACGGCAGCCCTATGGAGGGAGTTGGCAATTTAAAGGTGTTCTCTCGAGGGTGGGAGGGATCTGGAAGACAGCCCGTGTTCCTTGGTCAGGCTGTCATTTCTCTCCATTTGCTTTGCTCTATGTTCTATTCTTTTTCCAACAGCCAAAATTATACTGTTGCTAGGCACGAGACTTTGGCAAGGAAGCTCTGAGTCTCTGGAGAGTGGAGAGCAGAGAAGACAATGAACAGAGGGAGGAGGGAAAGCTTGGGGTGGCACAGTCCTGGCTCTCAGTGAAAAGGAGGGGCCCCACTGCAGGGAGCCCGCAAGATGAGCTTTTCACTTCTACCTTTACCTTCCCTAAGTATACAAGCTCACGGATTTGAAATTAATAAATGGAAATATATTTTACTAGAGGCTCGATGCACAGATTCATGCACAGGTGGTGTCCCTCAGCCTGGCCTGCGGGGATGGGGTTGAAACCATCTCTATTATATCCTCTGAGGGGTCCTGGATTGAGAGAGGGTGGTTCTCAGGTGATGCACCCCAGAATCCGGCTTCCTCTTCTCTGGTTCTGGTGCATCACCTGAGAATTGCAGCTGCCAAGTCACCACAGCTTGGGCTGCTCCTGTGTTGAGGTCTGCGCCCTGTTGGTCAGTGCATGTCATAGTTACTGGTGGAACAGACAGCCAGTTGCTTAGGATATATATATATATATATATATATATATATATATATATATATGCAAATAACACAGAATATCAACAACAATGTGGAGATACAGAGAAGGAGATGTAAAATATATTTCCAGAATATGTGTGTAAATTGACTAAAACTTTGAAAGTGTGATAGACATATCATTTTGAAATGTGATTGTCAAAGAAAGTGAGACTGGAGATATCAGAGGTAAAGGACCCGCAGATAATTTGAAATTTGATGGACTTGTTTTCTATTATTTACAAAGTAAGCTTGAAATTGCCAGTCTTCTTTATTTTATTTATTTACTTTTAAAAAATTTATTTAGAGACATTGGTTGTTATTCCACTTATTTATGCATTCATTGGTTGATTCTTATATGTGAGCTGACTGAGAATCAAACCCACAACCCTGGCATATTGGGATGACATTCTAACTAGCTGAGCTACCCAGGTAGGGGCAATAGCCAGTCTTGAATGTGCTCTGTGAAACTCAACGCATGTGACATGATCTGAAACAGATGCTACCTTCCATGCTCTCTTACCATGAATTCTTTTTCCTTTCAGGAGCAGCCCATAGTCTCATCAGGAAATATTCAATCAGAAGGTAGCTTAAGGTTCTTTCCAGCCATAAATGCTATGATTTTAGAAGTAGTCCAGATTTTTAAAGACAGAGCAATATATGAAGGAACAATATTTTTCCAGGCTCCCAAACACTTAAGAAGAAATCTTACAGGTACTTATGAGACCAGGTACTCCAGGGAACTAATAACTAGGATGAGTGAATGGAGATTGAAGGTACACTAGCTACTCTCCTCATGACCTGTTCACAGTTCCAAAATTCATGACTCACTGCTCAGCCCAATGAGCTCACTTGTCAACTTAATGTGACTTCTTCCAATTTCATGAGAAAATCATTTTTCCTTTTTGTCAAATGCGCTTTCTAGATAAAATGGATAGCCCTGCATCATAAAATGCAAGAGTTGACAGATATGTAATTTTGAAAATATGATATAAATTGACCCATAGACTTGGAGGGCTGGCAAGAATGCAAGATGTGTTTGTGTGCATGAATGTCTAACTGCAAGCAAGACTTTTTTAAAAAGTCATCTCAGAAATAGGTCCTATGGTGGCTTTCTTTTAAAAAGTATATGGGAAAGCAAAGGTAAAGGTCACCTGTAAAAGCACAGACCATTATTTACATTTATGACCATATATGCTGTTCTAGATAACTACTAAGCAATCTTGGCTGTGCCCTACAGAACATTATAAAGTATAAGCACCTGGGCCCTACTCCAGGAAGTTAAATCCAGTTAGCCTATAGTTTAGTTCAGCTTTCTATATTTCTAGAAAGGTTCTCTGGTGATTCTGATGTGTAGTAAAGGCTGGGACCCACTGAACACCCTGCAGGATGGGGTAGGTTTTATGGTGCTGGTGTACTGCCCAGATGCTCTCCCGTGGGATTGAGACAACCATTCCCTCAGTTGGACACTGACTACCCACAGGGAAGTCTTTCTTCAAGAATTGTCTACCATAGGCCATGCTTCACCCATGACCATGCCCTTCTCCTATGGTCAGCCTGCATGTAATAACTGGTTAATGGAAGGAGGGCCTAGGCAAGTCACATCATCACTTTTTAACTCTAAAAACAGGGATGATAACAACAGCAATAATAGCAACAAAAACTGTATAATCTTCTTTCAAAAGTAGTTGTGAGGATTCAGTAAGAGTCTGTATAAATAAACTGTAATTAACCATGTAAAATGCTGGTAGTTACTGTTGTTAAATGTTCTTAGGTCTAAAAATCTTCATATATTATGTGAAGAAAATATAATAAGTACCACTGTAAGTCAAAAAGTGTTTTAATTCCCAAATGTGTATGCATTTAACATTCGCCACTGTTCAATGAGTTGAAATGAAAAAAAAAGAAAAAAGAAATGGGTTTGTTTGTTTGTTTTGCTGTTTTTGCACAAAGCTAAAATCAGCCATAGAAAGAAATAGACCGGGGGGCCAAGATAATTCAGTGGGGAAAGAACAGGCTTTTCCACAACTGGAAACAACTGGACACCCACATGCAAAAGGATGAAATTGAACCTCTACTTCCCACCATGTGCAAAAAAAAAAATAACACAAAATGGATCAAAGACTATATGTTAGAGCTAAAACTATGAAATTCTTAGAAGAGAAGAGCAGGAAAGATTCATGGTCCTGGATTGGGCATTGGTTTTTGAGCTCTGACACCAAAGCAATAAAAGAAACATAGATAAATTGGATATAACCAAAATTAATTGTGTGTGTGTTTCAAAGGATACTATCAAGAAAGAAAAAAAAAAAAACCCCAAAAAATAAACAAACAAAAACAATACACACACTGAGTGGGAGAAAATATTTGCAAGTCATAAATCTGATATGATACTTGGGTCCAGAATATATAAATAACTCTTAATAATTCAACAAGGAGCCAATCTCACTGACCCATGGACAAGGAATTTCAATTGACATTTCTCCAAAGATAACTCATAACTGGCTAATAAGCAGAAAAAAAAATAACATCATAAGTCATTTTTGAAATTCAAATCAAAAGCATAATGTGATATCATTTCACACCTACAAGGATGGCTATCATAAAAAAAAAAGACAGATATAAGTATTGGCAATGATGTAAAGAAATTGGAGCCCTCATACAATGTGGGAATGTAAAAAGGTAGAGTCACTTTTGAAAACATCTTGGCAGGTCTGCAAATAGTTTGTTTAAGAGTTACCATATAATCCAGCAGTTCTATCTCTAGAGTAATGAAAATGTATCTGCATAAAAACTAGTATAGAATGTTTTTGCAGCATTATTCATATAACCAAAAAGTGAAAACAACCCAATTATCTACCAATTGAAAATGGATAAATAAAATTTAGTATGTCCAGATAACAGAATATTACCTGACAATCAAATTATATAAAATACTGATACATTCATTGCATAACATAAATGAACCTTGGCAGTATTAAGTTAAGTGAAGGAAGTCAGTCACAAAAGAACACATATTATATGATTCTATTTATATAAAATGCCCAGACCAGGCATGTCTACAGAAAAGAAGGTAGATTAATGGTTGCAAAGAGCAAAAGGGAAGAGAAATGAGCAATGACAAAGGTATAAGGTTTCTTTCTGGGGTGATGGAAATATTTGATTAGGTGATGGTTGCACAATTCTGTGAAAATCCTAAAAATCACTGAATTGTAGACAAAGTGGGTAGATTGTGTGGCATGTGAATTATATTTTAATAAAAGGGTTATTAAAGAAATAATCTCATGAGCCGAAGAAGTAATAACAAGATATTTAAATATAACTCACGGAAAAACATGACTATTTTGTTTTGTTTTGTAAGTAAACACAGCTCACTGTCTGCTATTTAAAAAAAATCACATCACAAATCTGTGTGGGAAAGAGACTGGCCAGGAAAAAATGACTGTGCTCTGGAAGAATTCACATTTCCTTAAAAAATGGACTCAAAAGTTCTCGGTGACTGACTCAGACTTAAGAATCCATAACCTACTGCTCGCTGAACTAAATCATGCCTGCTAGAAAAAGACAGTTTTTAAAATATGGCCTTCAAAAGTGTTTTTAGCAGTAAATGCAAAATGATCTGCAGTCACACTCCTGCCGAAATGCCAAGCACTGTACCTGTAAGCTCTCAGGATCCTCTGGGCAATGGCGTCGCCTATCTTGTTGAACACAACCTTGTCATCCGCGCAGCTTATAAAAAACTGGTTCTATGAAAAATCAATAGGATAATCATGTAAATCTTTCATAGCTTAGTAGTGTGTATGTGTGTGTGTGTATGTGTGTGTGTGTGTGTGTGTGAATACACAGTATATATCCTAATAAAAGAGTAATATGCAAATTAAACATCGCTCTGGTATATCCACCAGTGCCCATCAACCAATCAGAGTGAGTATGCAAATAAACCCAACCAAGATGGCCACAGCCATAGAGAGCAGGCTTGGGTTTCCTAGGCAACAGAGGAAGCCAAGCTTTCCATCTGCCCTTGCCTGCTTAAGCCTCCACTCAAGGCTACAAAGTTTCAATTATAGAAGGTAAATAAATTCCAGATACCAGGGCCTCCACTTGTGTTACCAGGCGTGGCCAGCCTACAAACCACCACAGGCCTCTTGCTCAGGCCACCCCATACCCCAAGGGAACCCTCACCCTGATCCAGGACACCGTTCAGGGCAAACCAGCTGGCCTCTGCCTGTGCACTAGGCCTCTATCTTATCTGATAAAAGAGTAATATACAGATTGACCATCACCCCAACACACAATATGGCTGCCCCAATGTGATCAAAGATTCTACCCTTATGTGGACACAAGATGGCCACCACATGATGGCCAGCAGGGGAGGGCAATTGGGAGGAACCAGGCCTGCAAGGGAGGGCAATTAGAAATGATCAACCCTGCAGTGTAGGACAGTTAGGTGTGACCAGGCCAGCAGAGGAAGGAAGTTGGGGGCAAACAGGCTGGCAGGGGAGCAGTTAGGCATCAATCAGGCTGGTAGGGGAATGGTTAGGGGGCGATCAGGGTGGCAGGCAGAAGTGGTTAGGGGCAAACAGAAAGGCAGGCATGCAAGCAGTTGAGAGCCAGCAGTCCTGAGTTGAGAGGAGTCTCAGATTGGAGAGGGTGCAGGCTGGGCTGAGGGACACTCTGCCTCCCCCCCTGCACAAATTTCATGCACCAGTCCTCTAGTGTATGTGTATATATATATATATATATATATATATATATATATATATATATATATATATGAAATATGGTGTATAACATACTCTACATTGAAATTAAAAACAAACAAACTAAAAAACAAAACATTTCACATAGCAGACATGGTCTGACCCCTGAAATCACCTGAGGGAAGTAAACCACAGAATAAAAGAAACCTCATCTCACTCTGGATCCTATACATTCCCCGGTAATAACAGGTGAAGCATCTTAGTTGAGTGAATGGCTAAACTATTATTTCATCATGCCCATTCCTTGTAGGTTATGTTTTTAGAATGGTAGGAACATTCCAAACTTAAGGGACATCGATTTTTTTTTTCAGATTCACACATTGCATAAATGCTTATGATTAAAAATTATATCTTGTCTAGATACAGAGAACAGACTGACAGCTGACAGAGGGGAGGGAGAGGGACATCTGAGTGATAAAGGTGAAGAAATTAAACAACAACAAAAAAACCTTATAGAATGACTACAGTATGGTGATTACCAGAGGGGAAGGGGGTGGGGGAGGAAGAAGAAGGTAAAGAAGGATAAATGGTAACAGAAGGAAACTTGACTTGGGGTGGTGAATACACAATATAATACACAAATGATGTATTATATAGAAATAGAGGCCAATGCATGAAATTTGTGCAAGAGTAGGCCTTCCTTCCCCCGGCTGCCAGCACTGGCTTCCCTCTGGCTCCCAGGACCAGGGCTTTCCTCGTAGACCAGCTTCGTCCAGAAGGTCGTCTGGTCTAATTAGCACATTACACTTTTATTATTATAGATTGTACACTTGGAACTTATGTCATTTTATTAACCAATGCCACCCCAATAAATTTAATAAAAAAATTCTGTCAACAAACATCTATGTCATGCAAAGTTTACTTTTTTAACAGGGTACATGGCAGAACCATGATCAAATTTTCTCCACCCTTTTTCCATTATTAACTAGTATATGCTTTGGCTCTAGCTCCTTTACTTGAGTCTCTTATTATTCCTCAACTTCTATTTCAAGTAGCTTAAAATCTCTTATGTGTATACCAATAAAATAGAAAGAGAAATATTGTTATATCTTTTTTGTTTAAGTACTTCTCTTATTTATGCATCTATAAAACATTCTACAATACTAGTATTAAAAAACTAGGTTACAACATTATTATAATGGTATAAAAGATTTAGATGCTGCATAAAGGGATGTTAAAAATTAGACACAAATATTATCACTATTACATGTTTTATTTATACGTTGTTATAATATACCTATAGCATTAATATAGTCATCACCAAGTAACCTTTGCTAATCATCCTAAAGAGGTATATAAACAATGAGTCAATACATTATCATCCCTTTGCAATTATCATGTTTATTACTATACATGTGTTTACACTTAAGTGCCTAAATCTGTAAACTGCCTCCAGAAGACAAATTTACAAGAGAACTCTGTGCAGAAACTCATTTGAGAATGTGTTTCCCTTTAGGGAATCAAACAATCAAAATCTCAGTGGCAACCAAACCATGTCTGTTTTTTTCTGAATTTATATTACGGAGAAGCTTAGCATTGCTCAGCAGCTGTAACACACACTAGGCACATGTCACGTCCTTACTTCTTTTTGGGGGAGAGCAGGGTGATGCTGACTGCTTACCTTGCCTAGAGGTGTGTCCACCTGGTTATTATCCTCATCCATGTGTATCAACATGGCATTACTGATCTCATTTAGTACTGGGGTATACTACCTAATAAAGGGGGGATATGCTAATTGACACTCACACCATTGCAAAGATGGCTGCACCCACAGCCTATAAAGAGGGGATATGCTAATTGACTGCCCAGCCCTCAAAGATGGCAGTGCCCACAGCCACAAGATAGTGATACCCAGTCCCCTCAGCCCTGCTGGGGTGGCAGGCACATAGCAAGGCACACTCTGTGCGCCTGCCTCTGGAGTTCCCCAGTACTCTCAGCCCTCCAGCCACCCAGGGCTGGCCTGAGGTGCAGGCAAGCCTCGAATGGCAGCTGCTCAGCCACTCAGGGCTGCCCAAGGCTCAGGTAACCAGGGCCAGCTGAGGCTTACACTGTGGCAGTGACAGCAGCAGAGGTGTGATGGGGGCAATGCCTTCCCCTGATTGCTGCGTCGCCTCCCACCCCTGAGGGCTCCCAGACTGTGAGAGGAGGCAGACTGGGCTGAGGGTAACCCCTACTCCAGTGCATGAATTTTCATGCATCAGGCTTCTAGTCATTAATAAGAAAAGCTGACTTACTGCTACCAAAAAGATATAAAGCAAAAGGATTGTTGGTAATGGGTTATATTACTGTTTTATATATATATATATATTGGGTCGGCAACGAAGTAATTGCGGGTTTCACACATATATGGCTTCAGTTGAATTTTTAGGTTTGCAGACGTAGTACAAATGTAAAACACATTTTGTTATTTGATAGTTGGCTATTCAGCTGTTAATCAGTAAAAAAAGTTTTTTGATCTGTTTTGTAGTTTTTGTTTGGCGTTCGTTGAAAAATGGAAAATCAAAAGGAACATTTTCGTCATATTTTGCTTTTTTATTTCCGTAAAGGGAAAAACGCATCGCAAGCTCATAAAAAGTTATGTGCTGTTTATGGTGATGAAGCCTTAAAAGAACGGCAGTGTCAAAATTGGTTTGCCAAATTTCGTTCTGGTGATTTTTCACTCAAAGATGAAAAACGCTCTGGTCGTCCAGTTGAAGTTGATGACGCCCTAATCAAAGCAATAATCAATTCGGACTGTTACAGTACAACACGTGAGATTGCAGAGAAGCTTCATGTATCACATACATGCATTGAAAATCACTTAAAACAACTTGGCTATGTTCAAAAACTCGATACATGGGTTCCTCACGAACTGAAAGAATCACAGTTAACGCAACGCATTAGCAGCTGCGATTTGCTAAAGAAACGTAATGAAAATGATCCATTTTTAAAACGACTGATAACTGGCGATGAAAAATGGGTTGTTTACAACAATATCAAGTAGAAAAGATCGTGGAGCAGGCCAGGTGAACCAACTCAAACAACATCAAAAGCTGATATTCATCAAAAGAAGGTTTTGTTATCAGTTTGGTGGGATTACAAAGGAATTGTCTACTTTGAACTCTTACCACCCAACCGAACGATCAATTCTGATGTCTACATTGAACAACTAACGAAATTAAACAATGCAGTTGAAGAAAAGTGGCCCGAATTGACAAATCAAAAAGGTGTTGTATTCCATCATGACAATGCCAGGCCACACACATCTTTGGTCACTCGGCAAAAATTAATGGAGCTTGGTTGGGATGTTTTGCCACATCCACCATATAGTCCTGACCTTGCACCATCTGATTACTTTTTGTTTCGATCTTTACAAAACTCCTTGAATGGTAAAAATTTCAATAATGATGATGATGTCAAATCGTACCTGATTCAGTTTTTTGCTAATAAAAACCAGAAGTTTTTTGAACTTGGGATTATGATGCTGCCTGAAAGATGGCAAAAGGTCATTGATCAAAATGGGCCATACATTACAGAATAAAGTTATTTAGTTCCATGAAAAAATTGTCTTTGATTTTCTTTAAAAAATCCGCAATTACTTAGCTGCCGACCCAATATATATATATATATATATATATATATATACATATATATATATATATATACAATATATATATATATGTATATATATATATACTGTTATATTATATAGTTGTTAACACCTCACATTATTATGCTAAAATTTTTGAAATCAATATCACTAATCATATCAATATTTCTAAATTCCAGACTTTATCTAGAGTTCAGTAATGTCCTTTTCTGTTGCACACTCCTATCTGGGATACCACATTGCATTTAGCCTGCCAATATTTTTAATCAGTCTTCTCTTTCTCCATGTCTGTGAAAAAATAAATCTCTAATTCTTTCCTACTTGCCATAAATAGTCACTGGGTAGAAGGGGAGAGGATCAAAACTCAAGCAGGAGGAAAAAAGGGCTGGAATGATTTCCTCCAGCTACTGCATCTCCCATATACCTAAACTTATATGTTTTTATAAAACTCAATGGAAAGGACAGGACTAAAATAAAAAAGGGAGGCGTGCTCTGAATGACTGGTGCATTATCATAACTTTTTATTTTGTCAGGATTTTCTAAGCGCTCCGAGGTAGCTTAGGATGGACTGCAAAGTTCCCAGAGTAAAACCCAGTGTCCCCTAGGTTTTCTCTTATTCTTTGGACACAAACTCTGGGATCTGCAAAAGCTTTGTAATAAATCGTTGTTCACACAGGACTCAGGAAAGTGGTACCTGCCCTCAATATTCTTGCATCTTCCTTTTCCATGTTCCTTTGCTGCACTTTCCAAACCAGTGGCGTCCAGGGCTCTCTATTTTAGCAACTTATCCTTCTGCCTGCTCCCCTGAAGCAGTATGTGCCTCACACTTCACCCTCCAATTCCAGCCAAATCTAAACTTATACCTCCATGTTGGGGTATATCTGACTATTAACATTACAATGAGTTAATACATTTAATAAAAGGAGCTGGGGACTCCTATCAGAGTCCTGAGTTAACAAGAATGCAAAGCAAATGTCAGGTGTGCTGGGGAAGTAAAAGTTCAGGTGGCCCAAGGCCTCTTCACATCTCAACATACACTTAATACAGGAGGTCCTGAGGTCAGGGACCCTGCAGTTTGTCTATGGTATCGATGGGAAGGCAGGTTGTCATAGCAATTTACATGAGCAAGACTTACTTCTATGTAGATATAGTGCTTGCTGTTCTCTATCACGTGGACGTACGCAGTGTGGATGGACTCTTCATGGTACTTTATCCCAGCAGACCAATCAGTGGCAGAGCGGAGCAACTATGAGGCAACAATAAAAAATGAGCAAACGTAAGACAATGGAGATCACACCAGATGCACTGATACAATGAAATCTGCCCTTTTGCTTTTAAACAACTAAATGAATACAATGGTTTGAGTGTCACATGTGGGTCAAGGGAGAGTAGGTGGGTGGGCATAACCCATAACAAAGGAGCCCAGCTGGCAATCAAGTACTGAACATGTCTTCTCCCACTCAACACAATTGTCATTCAAAATGGGAAACAAGAAGGTGTTTCTATCAAGAGTATTTCAGGAGTACCTCATCTGGTGGCTGAGTGGGATGCCCATTTGTACTTCTCCCAGGATAATTCCACAATTTCACCAGAATGCCTGGTGTTATGGTGCATTTATTAATAGTACCACTTATACTCCCGAGAGTGTCCTGGTATGAACAATATGATAGGACCACCTTAGCTCTGACTTGAAAATAATATGATTACTTCCTTTCCCTCAAATAGATACTCTTAAAAAAGTAATTAGAGTCATTTAGAGATCTAATCTTGATTCTACTTTTAATTAGCTGACTGATCCTGGCCCTGTCACTTGAGCTCTCCACTTCCTCACTCATGCTGCCTCCCTTCGTTCAGACACTCACCTGCTCCCACCCAGATTACAATAAGAGCTTCCAGCACAGTCACCCGAATATATGTTAAATACATTGACACCTAGGTTCGTGGTTGGCAAACTGTGGCTCAAGAGCCATATGCGGCTCTTTGGTTTCTTGAATGTGGTTCGTCCACAAAATACCATGACCTAGGAGAGTCTATTTTGAAGAAGTGGCATTAGAAGAAGTTTAAGTTTAAAAAATTTGGCTCTCAAAAGAAATTTCAATCGTTGTACTGTTGATATTTGGCTCTGTTGACTAATGAAAACTGACTTCTGTGAATGGGCCACAAAGTTTCAATCACACTGTACATGTGTGCCCAAATGTGGTATTTTGTGGAAAAGCCACACTCAAGTGGCTAGTGAGCCATGGTTTGCCGACCACTGGCCTAGATTCAAAGCTTAGCTCAATTACTTAGTGGCTTTGATCTTGGTCAAGTTTCTTAGCTTCTTTGTGCCTCGGATTCCCACTCTATAAAATGGAGTATCTACTCTGGAGGGTGGTAAAAAGAATTAAATGAATTAGTATGGAATGTGCAGGAGCCTGGCACCTAGTAAGGGCTGTTACTGTTTGCTATCACTCATGAGAACATTAGATGTGTTTGGGAGGGCACACTAGATGACAGGGAAGGCTTTTCAACACTAAGAAACCATTGGCTGTCAGCATTTGGACTAGTATCACAGTACAGTGTTGGGCATATAGTAGGTGCTCAATAGATGTTTATTAATTGACCTTCCCTAAATATAATAATAACAGGACATCACATAAGCATCACTATAAAAATAGATTTCCTATTCCTGATTTGAAATGAATGTTGAGGCTTTGCTTCATGAGGTCAACAGAAATTGAAGGAAAAATAATAATCTATACATATTAGGAATATATAAAATGATCCAATGCATAGTCAGTTTTTTTCTGTTATAAAGGGGTAGGCAAAAGTAGGTTTACAGTTGTGAGTATAGGAAACATAGGGTTTGTTCTTGTATTGCTATTTATTTAACTGGCATGCCTCCCCTCCCCACAAATGAACACTTGTAAACTACTTTTGCCTTTCTTGTATATAAAAGATCTGGTACAATTTTTGCTCTAATCAATAACTTCAAAAATTGGATCTATAAGGCTACGGAAATTCAAAGTTAAAACGTACTAATATCATTGATTGTGCCATCCTAAAAATCTTATTTAATTATACAGTGTGTGGCATTTATTACAAAATAGCCCCCTAAAAAGCACTTTATTTAATTTTATCACATGAACAGTGTAATAAAACTGGAAAATATACTTGTGACCAGATATAGTCAAATATCTCAAAAGAAAACTCATAAGGTAAATTTAGATAAATATGATCACACTGGGAAATATCTTGATTTTCTATCATCCCCAAAGAACTGCACTACTGTCCATTAGTAGAAATAACAAAGGTTGAACAAACAGAAGTTTTTTTATTCTTAATCCATTCAAATGTATGCTGAATTTTGTGGCGAGGGTGCATAACTCTGAAAATGCAGGCTACCTTGAAGATTCTTACACCGAACATGCTGACCTAATTCTATATAACTCTGGGAGCAATGTATACAATTAGGAAGTGTACTGGAAAGATTGGCGTTGTCCTCATTGAAAAATGTGATGAAAGCAATGGCACAGGCACTTGGTCCAGAAAGAGCCCTTTTGCCCAGCAGCCCCTTGTGATAAAGAAAAGCGAGACTGACCTGCACGTTAGCACGGACGGACTCAGGCACTTGGTATCTCAGCTCATGGGCTGTCGTGTGAGATTTTGGAAGTAGAAAAGGATACGACAGGGACCGGTATTTTGGTTTCATAATCTAAAACAATTAAAAAGAAGGTAAAGAATTAAAAAATTAGAAAACAGTTCCATTCTTCCACATTTTGATTATAAAAGAAACTCAGGTTTATTTGAAACAGAAAAAAAAATTAACAGTGGATGTTTCTAGGTGAAGAGGTAATACATTGTTTTTGGTTGTTTTCTCTATTTCCCATAGGTGGAGAACCCCTTTTTTTGTTTCTTTTACCTTTTGTAGTAGGCATGCATTCTTTAGAAAGCTTACATTTAATTGAGTTACAGAGATATATATTTGCAAAAGGAGGGTTACTCTTTTGTAAACCGATATTTTACTATGTTGCAGATATCTTGCCATAGCAATACAGCATTATATGTTATTTTAAAATATGACATGTAATGATTTGGTATGGAAATCATTACCATTTGATATGAAAAAATAATAACTTATCAAATTGTATGGAAAATCATAACTTGTTTAATAATAACTATTAATAAGCATTTCAGTTACTTTTCATTTTATTTGAATTATTGGAAGCAATATAAAAATAAATTAGTTAATTGGGTTATTTCCTTAACTGCCTGAAAAAGATTTTCTGAGTCAAAAGGTTATATACCTTTTAAGAAGGTTTTTGGTGTTGTACCAATTTAGCCCCCAGAAGCAGGATTTAAGAACATCAAAAATCCAAAACCCAATTGTAGGTATTAGCAGTGTTTTTTTTTATTTGTTTGTTTTGTTTTGTTTTTAAATCTTTGCTTGCCTAGTAGGTTAAAAGTAATATCACTTTCACTTATATAGCATTATAAACAGTAATTTTTTTTTGATAAAAGTCTTTTCCCAAATTACCGTGAAGAATAATGATGTCTTCTCACTTTTTAAAGTAAATAAAAAGGAAACTTAATAACTTATGAATGTTAGGACAAATTCCCAGGCGTAATGAAGCCATCCTAAAGAAGACACAATTGGGATAAAAACAAAATGGCTCCATCCCTCATCCTGTTCATTTTGCTAAGAACCCCCTCTCCAATACGAACCCAGTGCAATGTCAGGATTGGAACGACTTGAAAGTTTGAGCTCTGCCATCTAAACAAGACTTCCATTCCCCTACAGTAGCCTTCCAGGTGAGCACAAGCCAGGCCAGATGCTTAATCAACACTAAACAGCCAAGACGTTAAAGGGTGAAAACCACTGACCCTGATAGTAGCATCTATTCTTCTGTGCTCCACATTATCTACAACGTGAACATTCAGGAACATTTCCTTTTGCCCAGAGACTCAGGAGCTCTGGCTCCCAGGCACCCAACAGCAGATGACTGGCACAGCTGTGGCCACCGAGGCCTCTTCCAACCCCCTAGGTATCTCCTCTCCCAGGCCTGTCTCTCTGTATTGTGGACTGAACCTCGATAAAGCCATGCATGTACCTTTGTGAAGTTCCAGCGCTGGATGAAGTGACGGGCCACATCACGAGCCGCCTTCCCGTGGACCACACAGCCAATGTCATGCCATGGCATCCGGGGGGTGGAGTACCTGTCAATGAAATCTGCCCAGGTGCACCAGGCAAGAATCATCACTCACTCTGTGCCAGGGGCAGAAGCCATAGGCCCCCGAAGAGCTGACCCTAAGATGATAAGTCAAAGGGAACGTGGTAATGTCCACTTATGTGTATATTTCTTGGCTTTGGTGGAGCAATACCTTCATAACCAAGTGAAGCATAGATCACAGTCCCCCGTGTACCTCCCCAAATATGTTTCCTCTTCACTTAGTATTAGATAGTCACTAGGCAAGGCAAGATGTGAGCTGGTACAAACTAAGTCTATGTACTTGATATTATATTTTCCTGTTTTTCCCTCTTGAAATAACGTCAGGCTACATATGCAGTGCCATCTCTATCTCCTCTTAGACATAGAAGCACAGAGATAATATAAAAATGTGTCAATTTAATGACAAAAAATGAAGATGATAAGCAGAAGAGGAGAAGATCAAAGGGGCTGTGCCATCTTTTAGAGAAGGACAGATCATTATCCCCAAAGTATCTTACCTAATAAAAGAGAAACATGCAAATTACCCATCACTCTGCTACGTCCACAACCAATCACAGTGAGCATGCAAACTAACCCAACAAAGATGGAGGTTAATTTGCATATGCAGGCCTGGAGCAGCCTGGAGGGGCAGAGGCCTGCTATGAGGGGGAAGGGGGCAGCAGAAGGAGCTACAGGAGCGGTGCTCCAACCAGAATTGAGGACTTGCCGGCTCCCTGATGGTTTGAAACAAGTAAGCTCTATTTTGTGTTTTCTCTTTTCTTACTATAATTATAAGCAATCCTTAATTATATGACTGAATTATGATTTAGCTAATATTCTTCAAAGTTTTAGCAAATATTCAAAGGAAAACAAGATATTAGATCATGCACTTGCATACTTGTTAGATATTGACAAACAAGAAGAGAAAATATAAGCAGCCATCCACTACTGAGGTACTCACCAGCAAAAGGTTTATCCAGCTGGACCCAGTCTTTGAAGACGAAATTGCAGTAGTCCTTTCCATGCCAGAACCGCGTTTCCCCATGGAGCTCTCCCACACCTGTCTGCAAACTGCGGACTGAGCCCGTGTCTGTGGACACAGCAAGACCCACTCAGAGATAGTACAGGTGGGCCCCAGGGAGGGAGGCTCAACTCTCATTTATGAAACACCTGTAGACTTCTTAACTCTCCTTCTTAAGACTCATTACTACGGCAGAATATGTCTACTCCATCTGAGGCTGTGCCTGACAAAGTTTTATAACCCTTAAGTTTATTAGTAGTGGGCAGCTGGGGCTATGACCGGGTTCACCATGTGACAATGAAATTTAACCTCCTTAGGTTTACCATCCATCAGCTCGCTGGAAGAAAGGACCACAGGGTTAACTATGAATCAAGAACTTGAAACAGCCCACAGTCCAGACCTGGAATTAACCAGCTAAGTCAGTGGTCAGCAAACTCATTAATCAACAGAGCCAAATATCAACAGTACAAGGAACGAAATTTCTTTTGAGAGCCGAAAACCGACTTCTGCACACGGGGCCTGAAGTTTCAACTGCACAGTATGTGTGTGCCCGCATGTGGTATTTTGTGGAAGAGCCACACTCAAGGGGCCAAAGAACCGCATTTGGCTCGTGAGCCACAGTTTGCCTACCACTGAGCTAAGTGAACATCACCATTAACAAAGAATTTGGCCTAGATGTCAGCTAAGATTTTCAGATGATAACATTCTTTATTCCGGAAATCATAAATGACAACCATAAAACTCATCACAATGACAAACAGAAGCTTATGACTATACACACACAAAAGCAGCCATTTACTGCAACACTTCACAAAGAGCTTTGCAGGACAATTTTACTCAGGGGTCGATACTTTGACTAAAATTGTATGTTTATGGGCTATATTGGCCATTGAGACAACTAAGCAGGAAGACTAACAAAACTACAAATCACAGATGCATGGCTTGGCACAAAAGAAGCATTTAACATACAGACATCAGTTGCAAAAGTATTTGTTGAATGAATAAATGGTAGCACATGCAGTAGCCAGTGAGAGTGCTGAACTGGTCTCCCTACCACCACACTGTCCCAGAACTGTCTTTTCAAACTGCAGACTCCCTGCTTAAAAGCCTTCCAGGATCACCTTCTGCCTAGACAGGGTCACATCCTAAGGGTTTCATGTGTATAGAAGACTCTTTCCAAATGGGGTACCAATCTCTCTCTCTCTCTCTCTCTCTCTCTCTCTCTCTCTCTCTCTCTCTCTCTCTCTCTCTCTCTCTCTCGTCTTTGCTCTTCCCCATACAGTCCAGGCCCCATGCCTATCAATCACATGCCTCACTGAGTTTTGACAGGCTGGTTTGTCATGTCTCTGTCCAGTTGTCACATTTTTTCCTTCTTGCCTGGAATGCTGTTCCTTCCCTCTCAGCCTGATATCATCCTTCAAGAGTCACATGGCTGTCATATGCCCTAGAGACACCCCATGTCCTAGTAGGGACTGACAGTCACTAACTAGCTCTGCTATAGGACTTAATACTTGCACACCCCAGTGCCTCTGATTCTGTGACACAATTGTGTAAGGATGCTCCCTCCCTGCCCCTACTCATCTATAAACTCCCTCCAGGTGTAGCTCCTGGCACTCAGTAGGCAATCAGTAAGTATATCCAGAACAAAGGTTTTTAAGCAATCACCCCACACACTGCGAATATTCTAGCTCAAGCTGAATAATTAACCTTCAGTAGTTATTGAAATTTTCTGTAAAAGAAAAATGTCTTAAAGTGCTAAATATGAACGAAACTGAAATGTTAAAAAGATAGAATTCCATTGACTTCTCCCAGTGATTTATTTTCTTGCTTGGTAAGACTGAGAGATCAAAGTACTGGCAGGTCTGTTTGCTCACCTGAAGGCTCTTTATAGAAAGGATGGAACTTTGTTACAAAATAAAATAAAAGAAAGAAAGAAAAAAGAGACAAGAGTGAGATAAATAATAAGACAAATTTCGAATTAAACAACAACAACCCATATGTATATAAAATTTGTTTTTATGCATTGAAAAACTCTAAGCCAGTAGTCGGCAAACTCATTAGTCAACAGAGCCAAATATCAACACTACAACTATTGAAATTTCTTTGGAAAGTCAAATTTTTTAAATCTAAACTATATAAGTAGGGACATTGTTATTAACTTAATTAGGGTACTCCTAAGCTGGCCTTTGCTAAAAACTCAAGTTTTACATATACTCACATGCAGTTGCTGAAAAATGATCTTTCACCTACCAATCAGTTATATAAGAAAAACAAAACCAAGAGAATTCTTTTTTTTTTCTTTTTAATATATTTTATTGTTTTTTTACAGAGAGGAAGAGAGAGGGATAGAGAGTTAGAAACATCTATCAGCTGCCTCTTGTACACCCCCCACTGGGGTTGTGCCTGCAACCAATGTACATGCCCTTGACCGGAATCAAACCCGGGACCCCTGAGTCCGCAAGCCGACGCTCTATCCACTGAGCCAAACTGGTTTCGGCAAGAATATTCTTTGATTCAGGAAATTGTCTTGGTGCTAAATGATTTCAACCTGCTCATAATTCAAATGTGTGTTTAGTTCATGGCCTAACCTATTCCAAACAAATAGGGGTCCTCCTAAGAACAAATGAAATAGGCAAAAGAGCCAAATGCTCGTCGTTACTGCAATTACTGCTCAGAGTTGTATGAGCACCAACGAGCAGGAATACAGGACGTTTAACATCAGCAACGCTGAGCTGAGCTGCTCTTAGTCTGCATCTGGCTCCCGGTTAATTTCACAATTGCACCTGCCTAGTTAGTTGTTCAGCACAGGTTTTTCACACCAGGTTTCTGCAGTCCTCATTCCTCGGTGGCCCAGACTCTGGCTGCAAAAGTTGAGGGAAAGAGTCTGTTCCTGCCCCTCATTGGTGCTTATACAACTCCGAGCAGTAACCACAGAAACTACAAGTATTTGTCACTTCATGTTACCCCTTACCAATCTCAGAGATTTCCCTGCCCTGCTTTCTCCTGCCTCCCTAATGGGTCATGGGTGGATTTCACATGACCCTCCTCACGCCTCCTGCTTTAATTGGAATGTATAAGATTAACTGCAAAACTGTCATTCTCCAGAGCATTTCCTCAATCCGTGGAGGTTTTGCTTCATGGCAATTACTGTCAGTTTGACTCAGATAAACTCAAATAAAAATTCTCTACAGGCTTGAATGTCTCTTACGTCGGCAGAAACACCTGTCTCAACTTAATTGCAAAAATGACTTCCTCCCTCAGCTGTCTAATTTTTGCTTAAATGAAAAAGATAGCAACAGTCACTGAATATAAGAGGAGTAAAATTCAACCCTTTTTAACTGAGAGAGTCTCAATCAAAGAAATGCCAATTTGAAATTCTCCATCTTGAAATATAATTTAGAAAGAGAGAGAGAAAAAAAAACATATTGAAGATGGTTAACTGATTTTGAATGACAATATGTACTACAGAAATCTACTATAGTTACTAATCACATTTAAGATGAATGGATTTTGGTGCAGTTTTTCTGCTTAAAAACTCATAGTGAACCAAAACTGGTTTGGCTCAGTGGATAGAGCATTGGCCTGCGGTGAAAGGTCCCAGGTTCAATTCTGGTCAAAGGCATGTACCTTGGTTGCGGGCACATCCCCAGCTGATAGATGTTTCTCTATCATTGATGTTTCTCTCTATCCCTCTCTCTTTCTCTCTGTAAAAAATCAATAAAAAAAACCCTCATAGTGATCTTGTGTGCACACTCCATACTGACTGTGTGCATCACATGTAAGGTTCACTGGGCACCAGGTTCCCCACGGCCTCATGCATTCCAGGGAAACTGACACTGCAGAGAAGCTACCACAGTTCACTGCCTCCAAAAAGCAAGTTATTAACTCAGCGAAACTCAGTTTCTAATCCTATATTAAAAAAAAAATTGACTCTAACAGGGGAATGACTGGGAATGGCCAGTCGCTATGACGTGCACCATAGGTCAGTGTGCACCCACTTGGGTAGCTCTGTTCAGCCACAAGCTGGGTTGGCAGTTGCAAGCACAGCAGTGGTGGTGGGAGCCTCTCCCTCCCCCTTGGCAGTACTAAGCCATTAGTTGGACATCCCCTGAGGGCTCCTGGGCTGCCAGAGAGATGACTGACTTCCAGCTTAGGCCTGATCCCCCAGGGAGCAGGCCTAAGCTGGCAGTCAGACATCCCCTGAGGGGTCCTGGACTGAGATAGGGAGCAGACCAACCTGAGGAAACCCCCCCGCCTCAAGTGTACAAAGTTTCTTGCACCAGGGCCTATAGTTTCTGATATAGAGTTACTCTATGTTTGATTTGTGTTTCAATTCCTATAAAATAATATTGGTGTAAGTCATTATGTGATTTAAATACAGAGCTATGTTCTTTAAACTTCCTTTATTATTAATAGTTAAAACTTACTTTTTTTTTCAATGCAAATTCACACAGAACTCCAATACATAAAAATGTACTAGCAGGATGGCTCTGGTTGAATCAAATACCAACAGGGTGGGAGGTCCAGGGCTCACCTCCTCAGAATCCTGTGCAGGACCCCTGAGAAGCACCAGGGCCCAAGGAACAGGCTTTGCAAAGCACTGCTCCAGAAGGACTTAGCTTCCTTTTTTACACACAGTTGTGGGTTTTTCCATATTAAAAATTAAACTGCAATTTAACGTAATTCATGAAAAGAGTCCTCTCCGTCTCTCACACCCCACAAGCAGAGTATCAGCAAATGCCATGAGTGCCACTTCAAGATGTGTCACTACTTGCCTCTCAGGTCTGCTGTAAAGAATGTGTCTGTAAAAATCTAAGTCAGACCTTGTTCATCGTCCACTCAAGACCTTCCAATGGCTTTCTATCTCGCTCAAAGGGAAAGCCCTTACAAAGGCTGCAAGACCTTATGTAATGTAATCGACCCAGACTTTGCCCCCTTCCTGGTCCCTCCAGCTCAGTCCTGGAAACACTGATACTCTCCTGCTTCTCAGCCCTCACACTTGCTATACCTCTGGTGGGAACCTCTTCCACTCAGCTCTTCTCTTAGCCTCATTCTTCTCTTCCTTTTGATCTCTTTTTAAAACTCACCTCATTAGAGAAGCATTTTCTGAACAACCTGATATAAAATCATAATTTCTCCCCTCTGTCTGTCCCCTTCCCCTGTTCTCCACAATAATTTTCACCACCTGATATGTTGTGTTTGATGAGATATTTATATATACAATTCCCATCCTTAACATCCAACTAGTTAATTGAATTTCATCTTTTTTTTTTTTCACTGTAGATTCCTAGTACATAGAGCAGTGATTGGCATATAATAGGAGCTTATTAAGTACTTATTTAATGAAACCAATGAATCATATATATATCCCCACTGACAGTTTATAAAAGAGCGCAGTCCCTCAAGGGGATGAAACACTTAGTATGTTCGTCACAATTCTGATGCCTATGTGGGCGACACCCTGAGCCCACATATACATCAAGTACATGCTTTATGCTAAATAAATAAAATGTCTCCTTATCTACAGTTTTCCCCATTTTTTAAGGTCTGTCAATGTTATGATTTACAACATACAAACTTATTTAATGATTGCATAGGAGCTTTAGTTCAATAAATATAATCAGTTTTTAAAATGCAAATTCCCCAGACCAAAGAATGCTGGGCACCACTGCCCAAGGTCCAGCTTAATTCATTGGGTTTCTTTAGTCTCTGCCACCGGGAATGACTCACATCTGGCCCTGTTAGCTGGGCTCCACGTCAGCCATCTCCACAGGCCACTAGGTCAAAAGACCGTGACGCAGCAATCTGCATTTCTGCTCAATCACAAATCCTAACCATGGGCGCTGGAAGGGATTTACTTCGTAAGTCACTTATCACCTCTGGACCTGAGTCACCTCATCTGTAAAAGGGAGATAAGGGGGTGCTCCCGGCAATGACCTCAGAGAGTCTGCACACCATAAACACTAGCCTGCGATTTTACTGCGGCTGCTACATATATTATCATGACAACTTGTCCCTATATCTGACCCACTGCCCAATCCTCTTCATTCCCACCATCATAAATTAGGCCTGATAATGTGTTCCTCAAGCGTGTGGTTCTTCTAACGAAAGGTTATCCGATTACAATGTCTAAAAATTCACCTTTAGAGCATGACTCCTTTATTTATGTTTAGAAGGTCAAACATGACTGCCACCTCTCTTCCTGGTCCTATCAACTTGAAGGATGAGTTTTCTAACATGTAGAAGCACTTGGTGCGTTCCCATTCCATCACCTCCTTTCCTTTCCCTGCAATGTCTTCATATCCTCACCTACCCAATGACATGACTTCCAAACCCAACTCCAACGTCCCCTCCTCAGGAACGTCTTTCTGGATCATCAGGGAAACCCTCCCACCTTCCACAGAACTAAAGCCCCACGGGACTGCAGGTGTACCCTGCTTAGGCGATGTCTCGTCTCAGCGTTAGGATTGTAGGAATCCCGTGGACGTCCCCCAGGCTTTGTTCTCAGTATGTGTGGTGTGCAAACTGCGTGGACAGAAAGACGATCCAGAAACACACTCACTGGCCATGCAGTACAAGCTGAAGCCTGGGAAGGTGACTTACCTGCGGAAGGTCTAGCGAGCCCCTCCTCAGTATCATTGGAGGAGCGAAAGAGTTTCAAGTGGGGCTTTAGACCATGGATTAAATTCTGACGACTTCTACAGTGATTAGAATAACCTGGAGAAAGTTAAGAGTGTTTTTGTTGTTTGTTTGTTACAAAGAAATATCTATCTATCTATCTATCTATCTATCTATCTATCTATATCTATCTCAGGTTTTCTAGACTGGAAAGCAGAGGTGATCATTTTTTAAAATGAGGCAAGGCTATCAAAGCAGTCACAGGTCCTGGGCCACAGAAAATCGCCAGGCTAAAAAGAACAGCACATTGCTCAGATGCAGAAAACCTGATGTTTGAGGAGAAATGCTTGTTGTATTTCTGGATGGGAAGAGAAATGAAATGTGTTTTTTTTCTTCTTCTAAACTAGTCATTCTGCTACCATCAGAAGCATGACTTGTGTTTGTTGAGATGACTTGTGTGAATATAGCAATAAATCTGTTCTATAATGCGATGGCAAGATGTGGAATACGATGATCCAGTGACCTGTCGGCACTGACCCATTTACTCCACCATAGGAACGTAGATTCTAAAAGCAGGGGTGCAGTGTCTGGCTACAGAGGCACAGATCGTGGGCCCGATCAGGTTTAATCACAAGGATGACTTACTGGAGGCGCTGTCGATGCTGCTGAGGCTGTCAGAGCCGTGCAGGTGGTGCCTGTGCAGCTGCCTGTAGAGGCTGAATTTGGAAAACTTTCTGGGTTTGCCTATGCCTTTCAGTTTTGAATCCATGTCATCAGCACTCTTCAGGATGGGCAGATCTTTAGCAGACTCCTTTTTATCTTTGAGGCTTAAGGATTCCATAGATCCTGTCATTTCAGCCTGTGAAGACTATTAAAAACAAAACAAAAAAGACACTGCATCAAATACACTGAGCCGTGGCCCTTTCATTCCAGTTGGGTGAGGTGTACAGTGGCACAGGACAGAAGTTTCTAACAGACACACAGTGAGGTGTGAGGTCAGCTGCAGGGCAGTAGGGATTCTTGTGATTGGTTTACATAGAGCCAAAGGCACAGCAGGTGTTCCATTGTAGTTATTCTTTCAGGCCAAATTCCTGAAATGTCATTTCAATTAATTGGCTTATCTCAAACACAATTATATAAGTTACCCTCAATGAACTTTCTCTGCTAAATATTAAGTAAGCAGTGCTTTTTCTGTCAGTTATCCTCTCTGTTACCAATTCACTACATTTCAGTTTTCCCAGAAAAAGTACCAACGTAGCCAGCAGTAAAATAGGAGGAAGTCTATATACTTTTTTTAAAAATATATTTTATTGATTTTTTACAGAGAGGAAGGGAGAGAGATAGAGAGCTAGAAATGTCGATGAGAGAAAAACACCGACCAGCTGCCTCTTGCACACCCCCTACCGGGGATGTGCCCGCAACCAACATACATGCCCCTGACCGGAATCGAACCTGGGACCTTTCAGTCCGCAGACCGACACTCTACCACTGAGCCAAACCGGTCTCGGCTATATACTTTTTTAATACATATATTGATGTTCTGGCAACCACTTGAGTTGAGATAATAAGTATATGAATATAAGGATATAGATATATGTTGGCAGCTCTTGGTTTAAAGGTAGTTTGTGAAGTTATTAACCTCCTACTTTCAAATAGAGTTACCTATCCTATTTTATATCTCTTTAAGTAGGAAGATTCCAAAAACCTTGGCAGTTACCTGCCTATAATAAGTCAGCTTATTTAACTTAAAGTTCAATTGCTTCACATTTTTGTTTATAAACTGTATCCTAATAGCAAATAAATCTTTAATTTAAATGTACAACAAAGGAGTGGAGTATGAGAGAGAGCAAATGCTCCACTGAATCTATAATATTTTCTCTTCTTACGAGAGAAGAAACAAACCAGGTGTGTCTATGTTTGACTTAATGGCACTCTCATTCAATCAATCAGTCAGGCTATCTATCTACATAAAATCCTAATATGCAAAGTGTCCCTTCAGGAGTTCGACTGACCGGGAGTTCAATTGCTCGATAGGACGTGTGTTGACCACCAGGGAGCCACACAGAATGAAGAAAGGTCCTAGCCAGCAGCTCGCAGCTGGGGAATGGAGGCCCTGGCCAGCAGCTGGCAGCCGCTAGAGACCCTAAACATGCACAAATTTCATGCACTGGGCTTCTAGTCCTTATATATAAAAGCTGAAGCAACTGTTTGACCCTTTGACCATTCAACCCATTGCTATGAAATGCACTGACCACCAGGGAACAGACGCTCAATGCAGGAGCTGCCCCCTGATGGTCAGTGCACTCCCACAGTGGGAACACTGCTCAGCTAATTGACAGATGCCAGATGCTGGGCTCACTGCTGGCAAGTGCAGCTGTGGTGGTGTGAGCCTCTCCTATGGACACTCCCCCTGTGTGCCCCTCCCCCATCTGGACTGGAACCAGGATCTGGACCAGCATTGGGACTGACTGGGTGTGAGCCTGCGGCAATTTCTCAGACATGGCCACACCAGTATCGCCCTAGGACAGGTGCTCAGAAACCACAGTGAAGTGGCAGCAAGCTTACCCAGTGGTGGCAGGCACAGTGGGGCCAAGATGAATGGGAATGATGAGGCACCCGGCCCAGGCTCCTCCCCAGTCGCCTGCTGCTTCCCACACTACTACATCCCTGGGGGATGTTGGACTACGGGTTTTGGCCCGGTGCCTGTCATCTCACCAAGGGAGCTCACGTGCACCAGGCCTCTAGTAATATATATTTACACAAATTATTATGCAGTTCTGTAAAGGTGAAATTACTCACTGGGAGGGAGCACATCGACGGTCCAGAGACGACACGCTTCACGCTGCCCACGTCTGTGAGTCTGTGCTCATTGTCATCCCACCTGCCATAGGCCAGATCGATCCCACCCACAAAGGCCACCGACTGGTCGATGATGACAAGTTTCTCATGATGAGCCCACAGATATACGGCGGAGGACACGTGATCTGGGTGCCTCATCACCTTAAGAGAAAAAAATTGCATATGTAACATGATTTTTTAAATGTTCTTCTGTTTTCACCCCTGAGTGGCATTTTCTATAATTCAAATACCAAAATGGGCTCTGTGTACATCAAAGAAAATCCCCAAACTTCTCCTTTTATTTCTAGTATTTAACTAGGAAGACTTCTAGTTACATCTGAAGCCTTCCCAAACCCCCACCCGCACTACATTTTGGGGCAACTGCCATTTAGCTTGAAATTTCGGCACATATTCCTAAAGAAGTCAGCTCAGTGAAATAGCTCATTCTCTCTCCCTTCTAAAGGATATATATGGTATTATTTAAAAACAAATAAAAAATATTTAAACAACATCTCTATCTGTGACAAATTTTTTGATAACTATATTGATCTTTTGGCAGCCATGGAGTCAACATAGGAAGCACGTGAATATAGGGAGAAAGATATTTTGGCAGCTCTGAATTTGAAGGGTACGTTGAGGAGTTATTAACTTCCTACTTGTAAAGAATTCTCTCTAAATGCAGGAATGGAACCTAAGACCCTTTGGTGCATGGGCCAATTCTCTACCCACTGAGAATACTGGCCAGGGCTGACTGGGAAGTATTTATTGATAAGCTTTAGGCCTTTGGTAAAATAACAAATAGCTTTCTTTGAATTGCTTGTTGTGCTTGTTTACTTTATTAGTATTTTATACAATATGCTATTAAGAAAAGTACTTTAGCCGAGACCGGTTTGGCTCAATGGATAGAGCGTCGGCTTGGGGACTGAAGGGTCCCGGGTTCGATTCCAATCAAGGGCATGTACCTTGGTTGCGGGCATATCCCCAGTAGGGGGTATGCAAGAGGCAGCTGATCGATGACTCTCTCTCATGGATGTTTCTAACTCTCTATCTCTCTCCCTTCCTCTCTGTACAAAATCAATAAAATATATTTTTAAAAAAATAATAAAAAAAAGAAAAGTACTTTAAGGCCTGGCCAGCATGGCTCAGTGGTTGAGCATCGACCTGTGAACCAGGAGGTCAGGGTCCTATTCCCAGTGAGGGCACATGCCCAGGTTGCGGGCTCGATTACCAGTTTGAGGCATGCAGGAGGCAGCCAATCAATGATTCTCTCTCATCATTGATGTTTCTCTCTCTCTCCCTTTCCCTTTCTCTCTGAAATCAATAAAAATGTATATATATATTTTTAAAAGAAAAGTATTTAAAGTCCTAAAGGAGCTCTCTTTGTTGCTATCAATATTCAAGGGATGCCCCAGGGAGATCACATTTTAGAGAATTCTGGGATCATCTTAATGAGGGGAATGGAAACTTGACAGGCCTCATAAACAACTCTAGGAAGTGTGCTCTTAACTAAATTATCTATATCTATCTATCTATCTATCTATCTATCTATCTATCTATCATCATCTATCTATCTATGGCTAATATGCAAAGTGTCCCCTTGGGAGTTCTACCCAGAGACCCGGAATTCGATCGCTCGCTATGACGTACGCTGACCACCAGGGGTTGGCACGGAATGATGGAATGAAGGAATGAAGGAAGGCCCTGGCTGGCAGCCAGCAGCTGGGGAAGGGAGACCCCAGCCAGCTGCTGGAAGGCCCTGATCAACCCTGAATGCCGGCCAGGCCTAGGGACCCTACCAGTGCACATATTTGTACAGCAGGCCTCTAATCAGGGTGAGAAAAGCAGAAATGTGACCCTCGTTGACTCCATCAATATTAGAAATATTAAAAAAGTATAGTATTTTCTTTTATTTCTGAGAAGAACACAATGCTATTTATTGAATATATACATTAAGGAATTCTACACATTACCACCGCTCAAAGCAAAATAAATCTGAAAAACTACAGAATAATAGAGAAGAAACATGGTTCAGCAAGATGAACCTGAATACCTTTATGTTGGGGTGTAGACGTATTAAAGTCCTCTTGCTGTATTCACTGTTTATTCCAAGGGCAAGTTCCACCTCTTTGTAGAGCATTATGAAGATCCTCACCCCCTCTTGCTGTCACAGGAGAAAACACAGGCAGGAATGAGAATTTCTATAGGTAGGCTATGGTTTTATTTTTCTTCTTCCTTTCTGTACACTGTGTTTTCTAAAATTTATTCTATCAACAAGTATTGTAAAATATTAATGAACAACACAATACAAGGAAGGTGAAACAAAAATGTATGTATATTAAGACCCAGATGTAAAAAATAAATATTATCTTTCTTCCATTCCTACAATTTGTTATGCCAAGACAGGGTCAATATTTGACTAGAGTCAGAACCTTGAAATTATAATCTCAACTACTAAAAGTGCCTCATAGTCTTACACCTGAGAATGTTTCCAAACTCATATCATTTAGAAAGCTTTGATTTGATTCATGTTGTTGTTTGTTTTTATTTTTTTATTTATTTTTAATTTATTGATTAAGGTGTTACATATGTGTCCTTCCCACATTACCCCCTTTCCCCCGCAACTCATGCCCCCTGTTGTCTGTCCATTGGTTAGGCTTATATGTATGCAAAAAAGAAGGAGTTCTTACCATTTGTTTTTATTATACTTCAACTGTTGAAGTGATTAAAAACAAACCTCTGATATAAGTTAAACTAAATATCCCTTAATGTTCCTGGGGTATGTTTCAAAGAAATTTTTGTTGTTTGTTGTTGTTCTTTTAATTTTTTTTTTTTTATTGATTTCAGAAAGAAAGAGAAAGATAGAAATAGAAACATTTATGATGAGAGAGAATCATTGATTATCTGCCTCCTCCACACCCCTTGCTGAGGTTTGAGCCAGAAACCCAGGCATGCGTCCTGACCTGAAATCGAACCATGACCTACTGATTGGTAGGTTGACACTCAACCACTGAGCCATACCAGCCGGGCTAGAATTTTTCTTTAAAAAAATTTTATTTAAATGAATAAATTGATGTCTGATTGGTTGCCTCCTGACCAAAATCAAACCCTTCAGTATAAGGGCTCTAGTCACCGAACCAAACTGGCTAGGGCGCATTTCTTAATCTTTAAGAGATAAACGTATTGGTTCCCACTCTTAACCCATAATTGAATCATTAATGTTGATTTCACCAGTGAAATGACTTCAGAAGTCACCTTCTCTAACACTCAAAAATTCCATAATTTAAGCACCCTCTCACAAATGAACACTTGGGAGCTAAAAGAAAATAGACAAACCATTATGAGGGTCAAATTAAGTCAAAGGTGTCTGGAAAACTTTAAATGTTATAGAAATAACATTTATTATTAATATTAACTGTCAAAAGGAGAACGTTAAGCAGCTGGTAGTACAAAGAAGTAGCAGTACCTCTTTTTCTAGTTCTGGATGGTAACAAGGTTTCAGCCTATGCTAATCGCCCCGCCCCCGAATATCCCTCCCCTTCTCCATGTGCACTCAGATGGTTACCCCTTTAACATACTAATCAGGTTGTACTTATCCAGGATACTCTTGTCTTATTTACCCCCACTTCCTGTGCTACGTTTTTACTTTTTAGGTGTGCATCCTCGGTATTGCTGTGTAGTTTGCAGCATTTAAATTTGCACTCTCTAAACCCAGAAGCTCTGAAAGCATTTTGAAACATATTGCATACACATTGGATAATGTATCTAAAGTAGGCACTTAATATCCCAGAAATTAGACCATAAGAAATATTTCATAATACTTCCTAAAGTATTAGAGATGTAGGCATATCTAATAAATTATAGTGGTAGAGAATAATTTGAATTGTAAATGAATAACCCATGATAATTAGGCATTATTTATAATGGAAATTTGAGTCATAAATGGCTCAGTGGTTGAGCACTGACCTATGAACCAGGAGATCATGGTTTGATTCCCAGTTAGGGCACATGCCCGGGTTTTGGGCTCCATCCCCAGGGTGGGATGTGTAGGAGGCAGCTGATTAATGATTCTCTCTCAATATTGATGTTTCTATCTCTCCTTTTCCCTTCCTCTCTGAAATCCCTTTCCCTTCCTCTCTGAAATCAATACAAATATATTTAAAATGAAAAATAATATAGGAGTTTATATTTTAAGTTGCAGGATGTAGAATTTGGAGTAACCCAAACACATATACAATTCCCAAATATTGTTCTGCCCATACCAAGAAGTATTATTTTGGCCCCTAATGCCTTATAATAACATATTACTTCATAATACTAATAATTTAACTTCCTTTTTAAAATATATTTTTATAGATCTCAGAGAGGAAGAGAGAGGAAAGAGAAATAGAAACATCAATGATAAGAAAGAATCATTGATTGGCTGCCTCCTGCACGCCCCCTGGCATGTGCCCTTGACTGGAATTGAACCCGTGACTCTTCAATTTGCAGACCGACACTCTGCCTACTGAGCAAAACCAGCTAGGACTTAACTTTCTTGATATTAGTAATATCTAAGAAGTGTATACATTTTTGAAAGGACACACTAGATTTGTTGCATTGAGAAATGTGAGAACTAGAAGATTAATTCTTGCTCTGAAAAAAAAAAAAACTAGTCATTCTATTTTCCTGGTTATCAGCGGACTTTTGGAATTTGCTCATTATTTATTATAATGACATAACTATTACTTGAGTAAAGAGATCAGGAAGTGAAAGTGTAGACAAGAAGTGAACAGACTAATGGCTAATGCTCTGGCCAGGGAGTGCTCAGCTGTGAATCACTGATTGAGGGTTCTAAATGAAGGCAAGAACATTATGTTATTTTTCTCTTTTATTGTTCAGGCTTACTTTCCTATTTGAATATTTTAGGATTCAGCACTGAATAACAGCTATCCAAAAATAGCCTCCCATTGAAAGATATAAAGTTTAAATCCTAAAATTTCAACCTAACTTATAGTACATTACAGCTGATATCTTTCATTATGGTTGATTTGTTTCAAATGGATGAAATTCTACTTCTTAGGCCTATGAGATTATTACTCACTCGTAAGAAAAGTAGTCACAACTTAGGAACTGGCCTAAATCTTACAATTTTCGATTTACCTACATAACGAATAGATTTTTGAAATAACAGAAATGTTAACGCTAATGGATTACATTATTACCTTCCATCTATCATACCTGACATTTTCTTCTGTACTGTATCTTTAATCATTGTAATAAATGAACTCTAGAGGAAATAGGGTAGAGACATTGAGTCTTTTTTAGCTTAAATACAAATGACTAATAAGGAAGTAATTAAATATAAAAAGTTCATTTTTACACAGTCTGGTTTACATTTATTTGCTCACATCTCCAATAAAGTTAATTAGTGACAAGACTTCTGTGATACTAAAGCAATAAAACTCCTCTTCTTTTAGTCAATGCATTGCAACACTCTCATAAACTCAAAATGGCAAAGGAAAAAATGTTCCTAGGGAACAAAGGCATTTCCTGGATCATAATTGTGGAAACTTACACAAATGTGGGAAATATTTATGCAAAATGAAATCCAAATTAGAAAGAAAACAAGAGGAGTAAAGTTAACTGAAATTTTAAAAAGATACACTTTTTAAACAACCAATGTTTTTCTAACGTCGTTTATCAACTTTTGCTTAGAGAGATGGAAGGAAAGTATTAATAGGGGAAGTAGGAAAACAAAGGAATGGCTTGAATATGACTACACAACACCATTTTTTGTTTATTTGTTTATTTTTATTTTTGTTTTTGTTTTAGTAAAGCAAAAGGTGGAAATTTATTGAGAAACAAGCACAAAGTGGGAGAGATCAACCAAAGGACTTGTATAAGCCTAACCAGTGACCAGTGATCATGGACAACAGGGGGATGGGGGCAAACGTGGGATGGGAATGGGGGATAAGGACAATTATGCGATACCATAACCAATAAATAAATTAAAAGAAAAGAAGAAAAAAGGAGAGAGAGAGAGAGAGAGAGAGAGAGAGAGAGAGAGAGAGAGAGAGAGAGAGAGAGAAACAAGCACAGATTCCCATGTAGGAAGGGGCAAAGAGTCCCCTAACACCATGTTTCTTGTGGTTACTCAAGTCAACTAACCCGAAGGTTCCACAGAATCAATGTCATCAAACTTGAATTTCCAAAGGTGAACTTTCTGTCCTCTTTTCTAATTTGCTTTTACTCAAGTAAAACAGAACAATACTGTCAGCAGTAGGAAGTTTTAGATATACATCAGACATGCAAAAACAAAAACAAAACAAACAAAAAATTTCAGAGTTGAAATCAAGAGATTTTGTTCCTGAGCCAGTGTTTTCTCAAATTGCTCAAAGCACCATGGTCAAAATATTTTCTGGATGCAGCCAGGTCTGTCCACTGCTTGAAGAGAGCATAGCTTATAGTTCCACAGGCTAATCACTCATTTTATCACTTGTCCAGGAATACCCAGGCATGAAAAAAATCCATATCCTTGCCAGTTAACTGCAGGCAGCATTGGGATGTAAGGTCACAAATGCCTGTGAGTTGTTTTGTGAGTGTTTTTAAAACCAGTTTTGTCCAAAGCTCAGACCTCAAAGTTAAACATGTCTTCTCCCTTCCCTGCCCTGCCCTTCACCACTTTGATAAGATTCCCTTTGTGTGTTTTTTTTGTTTTTGTTTGTTTGTTTGTTGTGTGAGTGTGTGTGTGTGTGTGTGTGTGTGTGTGTGTGTGTGTGTTTTGGAAGAGATATGATTATTTATCTCATTTGATATGCCTGAATATCCTTCCCTCCCATTGCTCACAGACTGCAACTCTAGAATGTACACTGTGATCCTGGACTGTAAGGAATTAACCAGATGACAAAGCCCTCTGAGGACATACAACTTTTCCTGTAAGCCCCCAGGTTGCTATGCTTGAGGATTCTTTTAGTGCAAGTCTCATCAGAAGTATTACATGTCTCTAAGGTTGAACTATACCAATTGGGTACAAGGATATAGTTACCCATAACCATGAAACAAATGACCTCACCTCTTAGTGAAGACAATGCAGGACTGTGGGAAACCTTGGGGTGCTGATTTGAATAGTAAACACTCTCCCTCTCAAGGTTAGCTTAGATTATTTTAAATAATAACGTTGCATATCAGAAGATCCAAGAGACAGGAAAATATCAACTTGGTTATTACAGAGAAACAAAATATTGTATTCTCCCTCCTATGAAACAGCCATTTTAAGAGATGTTTGCCTATATGTTGGCAATGAGGGAGAAACACCGAATTCCTTCCCTAAAACCTGCACAATCAAATGGAAGGGAAGAAAATCATTTATTTAAATCAACCTTGTGGACCTCTGGGACCCATTAATGCAAAAATAAATGTTAACCCACTACCTTGTGAAATTAGTGACTTTCAGAAACAAAATTACTTATATGAAACAGTGTTCATAAGCATATGAAATGTCAATTTTAATAATCCAAGTGTTAAAAAAAGCATGACCAACTTAATAATATGGTATAGCTAGATTATGGAAGACCAATTCTGCTAAATGATCCACTGAGAAATTAATATTTAACAGTGTTTCTATCTCCTTAGGAAATTTTAAAAATCATCATCCCCAATTCAAAAATAACAAGTTTCAGGAAGCTGATAAAATTCAAATAAACCACCATTATCAGACCATAATAATTACTGGGCTCTGGTGTCCACCTGGAATCTCACCTGGGTTCAGAGGTAATAAAAGCAAAGAAAAGCCATGGTTGTGATAGAAAAGGAAACTAGGCAGGGACACTAAGGGGATAAACCAACATCTGCCAGCTAACATGAGGTTGAGGGCCTGGCTTGCAGGATCTTCCTCCTGAGCTCTGTTCCGACATTGACTACTTTCTGGAGCTTATTAGATGTTCTGTCGCATCTCACACTCAAATGATCTAAACTTTAGCTCTCTAAATCTGAGTTTGTTCCTCCACTACTAGATTCACCTTCCAACACATCATTTTTATCATATCACCCTTCATCCATAACACCCCCAACCCAGTAGATCCCCACTGTACTGCATAAAGCCCAAACCACTGGCTTAGATCATCAACCTTTCACGTCCTAGCTGCAGCCTGTCTTCCATCTTGATCCGCCGCCATCCCACCTATGCTAACACTCAGGTGTAATCAACCTTGTCACCTTACTGTGACTGGCAAAGCCTTCTGAATTCCTGTTTCCACACCACATTTCCTAAATCCAGAAATTTCTTCTTTTTAATTTAATTTTTCATTCTAAATCCCCTAAATCTCTCATGTCCTGAGGAGTTCCCCACCAGACCTACCCAATGCTCTCCCTCTTGCCTTTGAATCTTGGCCCTGTCAATTGACTCTTGTGTAGATTTTTAAACTCCTTCAGGTCAAGAATCATGCTTATTTATGTACATTCACATATGATTAGCCAAGTGCCCTGCACTCACTAAGCATTCAGCAAATACATGTCGAATGAAAGCTAAAACAGTAAAGTGTTGGATAACTACTATAAGGAGAGGTCTTACAAGAATGATTGACTCCTGGAGAAAATTACAGCCCATTCAACATATAGAAACCCATTTGGTAACCTTAAGATTGAGCTCAGAACATCAGTCCTTGAACAAGCCTTCCATGGGCAGATATGAAATCCTTTTCATACACAAATTAGTAATTAGTATATCTAGTATGTGGATCAGGAGATAAACGTATGCTAAATTATTTAATGGCTATGCAAATAATGCTTTTCAAGACCAGAATTTCCAATTTTGTGAATAGACTTTTGTTCAAACAACACATTAGATTAGCTATGAAAATGATGCTGTGTGGCAAGACATGTGTCTGAAATGAAAATTATCAATTTCAGCCTTCAATATTAGCAGTGAGCTCAGATTGTATTATGATATTTGCAAAAATCTTAAAGTAAAAACATGGTGAAAAGATATCGAAGGAAAAGGTGAGTTAGTCAAGAGGTAGAAGAATATAAAAGATGGGGGAAAGAAATGAGTGTAGGCTGTGAGGAATAGTAAAATACTACCCACAATTACTAAGGATCTACAAAATCTGCAGGAATGTTTAATGATAGAATAAACAAGATTAAGACAGTTTCAAATAATAGCAAAAAGGTAAGCGCTCCCCATTTGAACATTAACAAGAAATCCAGTTCTATTCTAATTCACCTTAATTTAACTTGGTTAAGGGCCAACTACATAAAAGTTGCATTAGAAGTATGCATGCATAGTAGTCTTTGATGAACCTGCAATACTGATTCAGTTATTTATTTTTTTTATAACAAAAGAGCACACTTAGTGCTCACCCAGAATCTACATGGTCAACTACAAAGAAAACCATTTCACATTACCAGGAACTGTCCCCAAAATGAAATAAAACAGCTTCAATTCTTAATGACCCTCTTCCTTGATATTCTTCAACATCAGCTTGGTCCCATCTGAGTGAAATCTCAGATGACTTTGTTTTTTTGCTCAAATAATAGCATAATAAGTAAAATAAAATGCTATGCTTCATTTCATCTTTTATCATCCATTAATAAAATGTTATCACAAAATTTGACTATAAAATCAACTATCCATAACTGATTAAAAAAATAAAAATTAGAATTGCTAATAAAAGTCATGCTGTGTATTAGGCTAAAATATTATGCATTTAAGAACAACAGGAAAAAAATCAGAACCAGATGAATTTGAAAACAGAAAGTATTCTACTTTTTTACCCAATTCTTTAAAAAAAAATGTTAGTAAGTATACAGGGAGGACTTTAAAAAGAAAAGGCATTTAAGAGGCAATAAGCATTTAAGAAATTACATCAGCACTTGTCTTGAAAGTACATACCGCTTTTCGTTTAAGAATGCAGTCCAACCTCCAACGATTTCCTTCAACCACAGGGCGTTTCAGGAAGATTTCTGGACTCAACCTGAAATCACAACATTTCAGGGAATTAAAACAACATACAAAGTTCTAATCGTGTCATAGGAAACAAAGGCGATTTTAGCCCAAATGCCATCCTCTCCTCCACTGTGGCAGGTCATCCATATAAGCCCATGTACAAGTTCATAAAAAAGCATGAGCCTTTGTCCATACAAAAGCCAACCTAGATTTCTCTCTATACATCTTACTCACATATGTGCGCGCGCACACGCGCACAAACACACACGCAGACACTGTTGGTTGCCCAGCCAGCAGCCATTCTCCTTGTTCCCACCATATAGTATAAATATTCTACACCCTTACTTCCCCCAACTCCTGCACAATATCACACAATCCTGGACAAAATGAGGTACTATACGAAGGGGCATATTGGGGTTCATGGAAAAGTTTTTCCTCTTTGGTGATAGACACACCGTCGCTCAAAACAGGAAAAGGGGCTTTAGGGTGGATGTTGTATGGCTATGTTGCAGTCATATTGAAATGTTAAGCAATGATTCTCAACATTTTTAATGCCACAACCCTTTAATACAGTTCCTCATGTTGTGGTGACCCCTAACCATAAAATTATTTTCTTTCTACTTCATAACTATAATTTTGCTACTGTTAATGAATCATAATGTAAATATCTGTGTTTTCCAATGGTCTTAGGCTCTACAGCAGTGGTTAAGATCTGTATTAAAGGGTTGCAGCATTAAAAAGGTTGAGAACCACTGTAAGGAAAAGACCAGAATGGTGAAATCACTAGACCACTCCACTAACCTTAGGATTGCCTAACTTTGGATTTCTCATTACGTGTGACAAGTGAATCCTCATTGTTTAGATGAGCATTCTGTTAATCCAAGCCAAAAGTGTTCTAACTTATTAACATACACTCTGGCTTCCAAGGTGTAGTGTCCTTGAAACCTGGGTCTTTCTGGTCCAAAAAGAGAAGGCAGGCTCACTGATCAAATGTTTCCAATGTGAGGATAAACCCTTGACTCTTCTTTTCAGTAATGCCACAGGCAGCTAAGCATACAGTAGAGTCACTTTCCCCCTTGAGGTCTGAAGTCAGTTAAATCTACATGTGATATACCCGCCCTGTAATGAGGAAAAACAAACAAGAACACTTCATCTGCTGAAATGCTAGACCTGGGGAAAGAGGAAGAGACTGTATATGGATTAAAGCCTTATTGAACACTAGGCTGTAATACTATCTTGCCAGGAAGTCCTCTAAGAAGGTGACAACAACAGGGTTTTAAGGAGCTGAAGAGATTAAAAGCATTAATTTTATGCTCTATTTCATTCACTTCAAGAAAATTAAAAACTCAGACATAACATATCCAAAGGAAACACATATTGGGTGAGGTTATTAAGGAAACAGACAAATAGTGGGGGTATATAGAGTATAAATACTTGCACATTTAATTCAGAATAGGATACAACTCAAAGGTAATCTATGTTTAAACAAACAAAGAATTTAGCAAAAGATTTATGATGAATTAAAAAGAGTTCTGTTTTAAGTAGAAAAGTACATCACAGTACATTGCTAGTTCACTGAAGATGAGATATATCCAACTATATATACACACTTGCAATTTTTTACATGTACATTAATCTTGGACTCAGAGGGCTTCAGTTTTGGGGCCACTTCTAAAGCTATGCTCAGCAATTAAGTCTCTTATTTACTATACAAGCATTGTGCACCCTGTATGCAGAATATTCCACTAGTTACTTTGGAGGATCTTAAGATAGTTCTCAAAGAACACTCAATTTTTAGGATAATAAAAAGATAAAAGACTGATATAAACAAAATATAAACAATGGCAAAGAGAGAGCAGCTATGATGCCCAAGTATCATTGTGTCAGGATCTTTACTAAGTAATTATTAGATGAACTAAGTTCAAAAGAATTATATGATATTGTATTTCACTGAATCTAGGACACTGATGATGGCAAGGTGCTTCATTACTATGTCTACCACTAAGAAAGAACATGTGATGAGAGTTATAGCTGTCAGATGTTACTGAAGGTAAGAACTTTCATGATTCCAGAGATGTTAACATGGCCTTCCAAGTAAATGGTCCTCTCTTATAGCTTTAAATATTTATATGAGAAGGACTGCATTTGAAATCAATGATCAGAACTTCCATCTTAAGAAGACAGAAAAAGCCGAAGCCGGTTTGGCTCAGTGGATAGAGTGTCAGCCTGCGGACTGAAGGGTCCCGGGTTTGATTCCGGTCAAGGGCATGTACCTTGGTTGCAGGCACATCCCCAGTAGGGAGTGTGCAAGAGGCAGCTGGTCGATGACTCACCGATGTTTCTAACTCTCTATCTCTCTCCCTTTCTTTCTGTAAAAAATCAATAGAGTATATTAAAAACAAAAACAAAAAAAGAAATCTTTAAAAAAAAGACAAAGGAAATATTAAACCTAATGTAAGAAGAAAGGGAAGAAGAGATGAATGGAACTCAACGCAACATAAGACAATAACAAGAGAGAAAACGCAATGAAAACAAAAGCTAGCTCATTACAAAATTAATGAAATTGATAAACTTCTATCCAGATTAAGAAAGAAAAAGGGAGTTTGACTACTTTAGATTTCTCATATAGGTGGGATCTTGTATCATCTGTTCTTTTGTGTCTGGCTGATTTCACTTAGGATAATGTCCTCCAGGTTCACCCATATTGTTGCAAATGGCAGAATTTCCTTTTTTTTTTTTTAAGTTGCATAATATCCCATTGAATGTAAATACTTCATTTTCTTTATCCCTTAATGGACATTTAGGTTGTTTCTATGTCTTGGATGTTGTGAATGCAGCTTCAATGAACATCAGAAAGCAGGTATCTCTTCAATAGCTTGATTTCAATTCATTTTTATATGTAGCTAGAAATGGAACTCCTGGATCATATCATAGTTCTGTTTTTTTAATTCTTTGAGGAACCTCCACATTGTTTTCCATATTAGCTGCACCAATTTACATTCCCAGCAAGGATTCTTTGAATGGTGGTTATCAGGAGTGAAGGAAGGAGGAAATGAGTTCTTGATCAAGAGTATAAAGTTCCAGTCAGTTATGCAAGATGAGTAAGTCTGAGAGATCTATGTACAACATAGTGCTCTTCTTTAACCTACTGCATAGCTAGTGCCTATAGTTCGTATATTAAATTATATTCTATATTTAAAAATTTGCTAAGAGGATAGATTTTATATTATATTCTTATAATACAAATACCTATTATAATAATAGTGTAGTAATAAAATATGCAAATCAACTGAATGGCGGAACAAGCAGAACGACCATCTGGGTGACCATGCTATGACACACACACTGGTGTCAGACTAGCCAAGGTGCCTGTGATGTGATTGGTGGGGGAGTAGGTGCCGTCACCCCACGATCACCCTGCCAGCAGGGTGATCAATGAGGGGCTCTGCAATTGCCCCAAAGAGGGAGACCACGGAGGCCATCCTCTGTGTGGCTATGGGAGGGGAGCAGGGAGCAGGAAGGGGGGCAGAAGGAGGAGGACTCCGCAGAACCAGGGAACCAGGCAGAAGATGCGGGCAGCACCAGGCCAAGAAGAGTGTGGGCAGCTTGTGGGCCATGAGGCAGCAGGGGCTGCGAAAGCCTACCCTTGCGAAATTTCATGCATTGGGCCTCTAGTTAATAAATAAAGATGATAGGAGGAAACTTTTGGAGGTGAAGGATGTGTTTATAGCATTGATTGTAATGATGGTTTCATGTTGTATACTTATCTCCAAACTCATCAAGTTGTATACGTTAAATATGCACAGCTTTTTGTTTGTCAATCATACCTCAAGAAAGTGGTATTTTTAAAAAAATATGGTTAAATAAGTCCATGGCCATTGAAAACTATGTAATATAATATCAGATAGGTACACAATTTATATATGCTATTATGTCAACTTTGTAAGATACATGCATGCTTATATATAAGGTTTATAAAATAAAAAATAAAATGTGCTAACTTGGTTAAAAAAAAAAAAGAAGAAGCACAAGTTATCAATATAAAAAAAAGGAGTTAGAGAAAGTCACTACAAGGCCTAAAGACAGTAAAATAATATTAAATAGATAAGTGAATATTATAAATAACATTATATGAATAAATATGATAACTTAGATAATATGGACAATTCTCATCAAAGAAAAGGATGTCCAAGTGAAAGCCTAAATAAATTAAGACTCTAATCTTGTATCTATTAAAATATTATATTCATAATTTAAAATTTTCAAACAAAGAAAACTCCAGACCCCAAGAACTTTATTTTTAAAGTTCTACCAACTATGTAAGAAATAAATAATATAAATCTTACCCAAACTCTTTCAGGAAATAGAGAGGAACACTAACTAACTAATACCAAAAACCAAACAAAGATAATTCAGGAAAAGAAAAAGTTAAGAACAATATCTCTTATGATCATAGAATTAAAAACCTTTATCAAAATTCCACATCTTATAAAAAGGATAATAGATCATGACAAAGTGGGTTTACCCTAAGAAAACAAGGTTTGGTTAAAAGTTGAAAACCAATCAATGCCATTCATCACATTAACAGAAAAGTGATTATTTTAATAAATGCAGATAAAAGATTTGACAAATGTTAATACCCATTCACAATAAAATGAATTCTAAGTAGAAATGTCCTCAAAGTAATAAGAGGTACCTATAAAACTCTACATAAATATGCATAATAACGAAAGACTAAATGCTTTTGTCCTAAGACTGAGAGTGAGGCAAAGATGTCCCTTTTTGTCACTTCCATTTAACATTTTATTGATGATCCTAGCCAATGCAATAAGGCAATAAAAGAAAAGAAAAGAATGCATACAGATTAGAAAGGAAAAAGTAGAACTGTGTTTATTCACACATCACATGATCGCCTATGAAGAAAATTCCAAGTATCTATAAAAAGAAGCTCTCAGCACTAGTAAGTGAATAAAGCAAGGTTGCAGTACATAAAATTAATATTTAAAAACCAATTGTATTTCTATATGTCAGCAAGGAATAATTGAAACATGAATTTTTAAAAATACCATTTGCAATTACATCAATTAGTGGAAAATTTACAGAATGTGTGTTAGACCTGAGTACAGGAAGTACAAAACACTGCTGAGAGAAGTTAAATAAGATCCAAATAAATGGAGAGATACAGCGTAATCATGAATTGGAAGACACAGTATTGAGGAAGAACAGAATCTGATATCCCACCCAGGGGTGATTTTTACCATTACTGTTTTTGGGTTTTGGTTTTATTCCCCCTTTTGATTCCTCAGCCTGGAGTGAGAACCTGGAAAAGTTAGAGACTCCAGGAGAAATCCTCTAGTTCAGGGTTAAGAAGAAAGAGTGGGATCTTTGGCAGTGATAGAAGTGACAGCAAAAGAGAAGCCACAGAAAACCCAAAATTAGCAGGGGGGGGGGGTGTCACAGAGAGAGAAGAGCTCAGGAAAGCAGCCTTATAAAATCAGTTTGTGACTTCTAGCTCACCCCCAAGCTGCTAATGCATGGATTTGATCCTAAAAACAGGGTAGGACAAAAGTAGGTTTATAGTTGTAAATATGAAAAACATAGAGGTTTTGTTTCTGTGTTATTATTTATTAATTATTGTATTATTTATGAACTGTAAATCTCCATTTGCCCCATCCTTTATTATGCCATTAAGTTTGAGAACTGAAAAAAATATACCACTGCCCAAACTGGCCACTAGGTGGAGCACATTGGGGCAGAGCTGAACCGTACTGCAAGGCTTTGAAAAGAAATCTGACATTAAAAACACAGATATTGGTGTTTCTGATTTCTTAGGCTATATTCCTAGAAGTGGGATCACTGGGTCAATGACATTTCCATTTTTAACTTTTTGAAGACACTCCATCCTGTTTTCCATAATGGTTGCACCAGTCTGCATTCCCAACAGCAGTGCATGAGGGTTCCCTTTTCTCTGTATCCTCACTACCTGTATGTTCATAGCGACATAATTTACAGTAGCTAAGATTTTGAAATAGCCTACATTCACATCAAAAGATGAGTGGATTAAACACGATGGTACATCTACACAATGGGATTCTATACAGCTGCAAAAAAGAAAGAACTCTTACTATTTGTTACAGTATGAATGGACCTGGAGAGTGTTATGCTGAGCAAAATAAGCCAATCAGAGAAAGATAAGAATCACATGACCTCACTCATTGTAGAATCTAATGAACAACATTAGAACAGAATTACTGTTTTGTAACAAAAATTACTGTTTTGTTCATTAAATATGAACAAAAATAAATCCAGAGACATAGAAGCATCAAACGAACCTCAGAGGGAAGGCAGGGGAGGGTGAGTGGATGGGATGATCAACCAATGAACTTGTGTGCATATATGCATAACCCATGGACATAGACAATAGGGTGGTAAAGGCCTGGGGTAGGGGACAGGGGTAGGCTGGAAGGGTCAATGAGGGAAAGGGAGGATATATGTAATACTTTCGACAATAAAGATTTTAAAAAAATAAAAATATAAACACAGATGTTGCCAGAGGAAATAGATCAGGGGAAAAAATGTTGCAATAGGAAATGTCTGAGATTTTACTGCTTATGTTTTCTTTCAGGATTTTTGTGGTTTCAAGTCTAAACATCTCAAAGAATGCTATGCTCACCCTAAACATAAAACCACCACCCTCCTCCAAAACTGCTGTGCTCTCTCGCACCCCTATGCCTTGGTCTTGGATGACCCTTTGCCTAAAACATTCACCTGTTTTCTTCTTACCAACTCCGTCCCCAACCCCCAGGCCCCAAGTCAGCATTCTCTTCTGTGAAGCTTCCAGAGCCCCCTCTGGCAGACTCAGCCACTACCCCTGTCTTCTGCTGTGTTAATCTTCATCACTGAGTTTTCCCCAATTTGTGTTTTACGTATGACTTCCTGATTCTATGTTGTTCCAGGGTAGAAGCTGGTTCTCACCCATTTTTATATGAATATGGCCTTCATCAGTACCAGTCACAGAGCTCATGCTCACTAAATGGCCTTGGAATGAATGAGTGAATGAATTAGCAAATAAATGGATAGGTAAGTTAATAAACAAAGAAACTGAGTAATTCTAGGTCCCAGGTTATTTCATTTCTCAGGTCACTATATCTGCCTTTGCTTGCATAATAATTGCTTTAGAAATATATTAATACCATTTTCATTTAAGTATATGATGTCTCTTGAATTAGATCAGAAGTTTCTAAAGAGCATGTGGTTTCTCTAACTATGCTTATTTCTCTCTCAGGTCTAGACATACCAGGGTTTGGTTAAGCTTTTGAAAGTCCCCTTTTGCAATATCTTGCATGACAAGAATTTTCTTCACATGTTCTGAGGGAAGTTACTGCAAAGGTTTTATTTCAAAGGGAGTGTTGTAGTAAGATGTTACCTTAGAAAAGCCATGAAAAAGAAATAACGTACTGATTCATATTTTTGCTGACAGTAGATGAGAAAAACAGTCAGGGTTTCATCTCTTTAAATGTTTAAATGTAAGTCTGTACTTTGGTATTTACCACCTTCAAAAGAGATATTATATTATTGCACAAAACATGAGAACCTGGGTTCAATGGAAAAACTGTTTTCATTCTCTTTCCGGTCAAACTTTCAGAAATATTTTTTTCAAGGACTATAGTACGACATTAAACTTGAATGAATTCTCGTGTTTAGAAAGTATCAACCAAAGAAATAGCTCCAAAGCAGGAAACTTTATTTTATTCCTGGTAATGAGACAAAATTTGTCAAGAATATACTGGTAAAGGCCAAGAAGAAGCTCCTCCATCAATATGAGAATAAATGTTTTATAGCCATACTGGCCATCACATACCTTATCTGATGATTCTAGGTCAATGATTCTTAGTCCAGAGGGACTTTGCCTCCCAGGGGGACATTTGGCAAAGTCTAAAGACACACATTATTACCACTAGTGCCCAGGTTGGGAAAACATGCCCTAACCAGTGGTTCTCAACCTTCCTAATGCCGCAACCCTTTAATACAGTTCCTCATGTTGTGGTGACCCCCAACAATAAAATTATTTTCATTGCTACTTCATAACTGTAATTTTGCTACTGTTATGAATCCTAATGTAAATGTCTGTGTTTTCCGATGGTCTTAGGCGACCCTGCTAGTGGTTCTCAACCTGAGATCCACTGTTATAGAGTCAAATTTCCCAGTAGCTAAATGAGTTTTAGATATGAGACTTCTAGTGGCTTTAACAAGCATCATAACTCTCATGGATGTTTTTAAGGGGGGTCAGACAATTGAAACCTGACATGTCTCCAGAAAAGCTGACCAGGCTACTCATTAATAAGAACATTTTAATAGTAATGGGCAAATGGAAATATCCCAATTTCAAAGGGATAATTCAGAGGAATTATATTCACTGGATCTAGGGACAGACATACCAAAATGAGGAAAAACTACCCAAGGACGATCATTTTCCACTACCTCTACAACTATATTTGCATTGCAACATAATCTTTACTAAAATGAATACTGAGTGTCTGCTTCCAAATAGAAAGACAAGTACAGTATTGTTCAAGCTAAATAATTTAAGAATATATTTGGGTGCCAAGTGTTTTGAAAAGACCTTTTACTGGAGGCCATTAGAGTTAATTGGTAGAGACTTCAGCCAGACCATCTGTGGGGACTGCTGGTTTTCATAGTGTGTGACTCTGGGACAGCACAACAAACACTCTTGTACATTCCTAAACACAGAGACTCCAAACACCACCCTCAGGGCAAATACTAACCACCAATCTGTGATAAAAATCTCCTCTTTTGCCTCTTCCATCGCATTTGCAATATCTTCAAAATATCCTTTGGCATTAACATACCTGAAAGACAAGTGTTTTTTGTTTTGATTTTTTTCATTTGTGTTGGGTAGGGGGGTTGTTGTACAAAAAATAAGAGGAAAAGACACATATCTATGGGAAAGCCAAAGATGGAAGCTACTGCCAAGAGTCCCTATACAACCACCAGTTAACTTTCTATAAATGGAAAACAAGGAATGAGAATACCACCTGCTATATAGGAAGTGCAGTAAATAGATAGAGGTAAGCAACAATTGATTGGTATCATGATCATATGGGGTCAAATGAACTCTCCTAATCTCTTGAACTCACACACAGTTGTTCTTTGGAGACTGTTTTTAATCCATGGAACAAAAAACATGCTAAGAATGATTTTAATTAAAAGAAATAGCCAGGCCTGGCCAGTGCGGCTCTATAGTTGACTGTTGACTTATGAACCAGGAAGAAGTCATGATTAAATTCCCGGTCAGGGCACATGCCTGGGTTGTGGGCTCGATCCCCAGTGTGCGGTGTGCAGGAGGCAGCAAACCAATGATTCTCTCTCATCATTGATGTTTCTATCTTTCTTCCCCTCTCCCTTCCTCTCTGAAATCAACAAAATATATTTAAAAGAACTATCCAGCAAGTAAATTATTTTTCTTAAATCATGACTGATGACTTAAATAAACCTTCCATTTGCATCATTAAGAAAATTTACAATTAGTTTTCAAAATCAAACTTCAAAATCTAAAACTGGCTATTTGAAAGCTCATTCTAAAACAGCTTAAAAACAAAAATTGAAAAACTAATTGATGCTCAGGTAGTCCTATAAAGAAAGGCCTTTGTTAGATATAATGCATTACATCTTTTCACAGCTTTGAAAACTGACTCTAGGGAAATTGATGCTATAACTACCCTGACAGTCTTAGACCAAAAAGATCTTACCATTTAGCTAAAATGTTCTCTTGGAGAGTAGCATATGACCCAAATCGGTGATCTTTGAGAAAGTTGCTGCCATATTTCTGGATGAATTCTTCTATAGATCCTGCCAACAACCGAGCATGTCTATAGCTGTTGCATTTTAAAATAAGTGTCCTTCAAAGAAAAGCAAAATGTGAAAAAGGATGGTCACTCTGTGTTCTGTCTTTTAAACAAATTTAAGACTGAACCATGTTCTGTTTTGTTTCGATACTACAGACATAAATTGAAAAATTTAAGTAAACAGCATCTTTCTTAAATAAGAAAAGCAGAGTTGTAAACACTTTTAGCAAGATTGTAAAATATAGTCAGTGTAGCAAAAACAAATTTTCAGGCTACTTATTCACCATGGATAGGGCTCTTACTATAGTCCTGGAGGTGTGCTAGACTGTAAGGAGGATAATGAAAAAGGTTTAAGGCGAGGACCTGTGTCTCTGTGTTACTTAGTTGCTGGCTCCAGTAGAGGTCATTTTCCTTTGTAGTGCCTGATATCCGTTTCCTCAGCTTCTGGAAGCATCCTGATTGTACTTTAGGAGAGTAATTCCTTCCCTACTCTGATTTCACCAAAGCCAAGCAAAATGGCTTATTCCAGACCTCTGGTCTCACAGACTGGTGCAGAGAGCTGTTTACAGGGACCGGTCGGAATTGTGGCCTGATGTTCACGGCCATCCCCAAAACAGAAACTGTACAGGAAGCAGGTGTCAGGGCAGCACCTTTGCATTTGCAATAACCAATCCTGAACCTTCCATTGTCAAAAGAGATAAGGAAGTTCCAAATATTTTACACACTCACACATGTGCAAGTATATGTCATGTTAGTAAGGGTGTGTCTGTATTTCTACGCCAGCCAATCTGAGTAAAGACAGAAATGTATGTATACCCATATACATGAGGCTGAATTTTATGGAAACAAGTGTATATATAGAGAAAGACACACATATATTACATAACTACAATATTTTAGGAAAAACATACTTATCAATACACACATACACACTAATAAAGTCTATGATAAATGTACACTTGAGTATCCTTTCAAGGTATGTTTCTTAAAAATCTATGCGTCAACAGAATTTTTCTAAATCAAATCATCATGTTTTGGTAAAGGATATCAATTCATAAAGTAAAATTTTATGTTTTTAAAAAAAATATGAACTATTCTATCACTCCTTAATTTATCTATTTGGCAAAATGGCATTATTGAGTAGTCAATTTAATTAAAATTGGCATATATCAACATATAGGACAGTCTATTCCGACTGTTGCACAAAAGATCTTAAAAAATGATTAAAGGAAAAAGAAGTTTCATTACTTTTGATTAAGGGTAAATTCTAAATGAAAAAATTTAAAGATTTCTCTTACTTCCTTTATTTAAGGTTGGGAGAAAGACTTTGTCTTTAAGAGATTTTGATAAAAATGTATTTTTTTTTTTATCAACAAATATTTACTCTTTAAAAATAGTTGAAATTTCTACCTTGAAAGGTTATCAATTCGGAGTCCATATTTCGTGTCTGTCTCCTTCTTTCCCACCTTAATTCTGAATTCTTTATCCACCAGCAGGACGAATGCGATGGCTCCATTGTCTGGCTTCATGTACAGTAAAAAGGAATCTTTCACTATCAACCACCTGGAAGGAGATTTTAAAAGTTGTACCGAATTACTGAGACAAAAAGAACAAAGTATACGACAATTCTGAAGTAAACACACTCGCAGGCAGTGGACAGTTTTATTTTTACATTGGGTTTCAGTTTTTAAAAACCACAATGAGAGGGATTAAAAATGGCAGAGTAAGTGGATGCTGCAAGGATGTGCTCCTAGGAATAAACTGGAATTATAACTAAAATACAGAAACACTTCTTGAATAATCAATGAAAAACTCGCAGGAGAGAACCCTGATACCCAAGGACCGAAAGTGGAGAACGCATAGAGACTGATTTATTTTGTATATTGTTAAAAAATATTAATAATATAAAATTTATAAAAGGAAAAAAATAAAAATAAATAAAAACCACAATGAAACAACAACAACAAAAAACTTTTCATTATGTTTTTCTAAGAAGTGCTGAGACCAAGCAATTCAATATAATTCACTATCTTTTTAAACACTAAGGACGAAGAAGCCTGGAACAACACCCCTGCCGAGGGGAGGGAGTGTTTGCAGGATGTACAGCGGGAGCCCCAGCTGTTGGGAGAATGGAATGTGTTGGTGTTTGCTAAAATAAACTAACAGAGAAGAGGCAAGTAAGTTTCTCAGTAAGTATAATTTTCCTTTTAAAAAATCTAGTAAGCACCCAACACTGCATATTCTGTTGCTCATTTCAAATTATTTGCAATTTTTAGGGACCATTATTAAATGATGTTCGATGGGACATGATCTCTCAAAAGCATATTTCCATTCAATATATGCTTAAGAGCTTCATAATAGAAAAGTACAATGACAAAGTAGGAGTTAGGGTGGAGGTAGAAACAGCACAAAGATAAATCATACATCTTCTCAAAGGATCTTACGAGGCCTGTGCGGTATAAGCAAGGATAATTCCAGGCTGAATGGGACAGGTATCAGAAGAGGAAAGCAAATAGTGATAGGTGAGAGGAGGGAGTCCTTAGTTCTGACTAAGAGAGCACACTGGTGGTGTTCTCCCAGAGGCAGAGTCTGTGCGAGGCCAGGAAGGACCCGTCACAGAAAGCCCAAAGTTGGTAGTCACCGTGTCCATCCCACAGGGAGGGAAGGGTGAGCAGGGCCCTGAGCTCTGGAGATGCTGCATGTGTTGGGAGACAGTTTGGTGAGGCCAGGGTCTCAGAGAGAGTAGGAAGGGAAAATGGGCAAAAGCCGCTCTGAGGAGGGTTTGGGGGCCAAGAAGGTTGATTTTATCTCAGGGAACCAGTGCTTTTTAAACATGCCTGATCATCAGAATCTGTTAAGATTTTTGTTAAAAAATAATAGAGTCCAAGGCCCCATCAAAAAGGCCTAACAATTTGTATTTAAAACAAACATCAAGGTGTTTATTAAATAAGGGAATCCTCATGTCCTGCCAAGGCCATAGGATAATAATATCATTGGTACTATGTTTCAAAAAAAAAGAAGAGAGAGAGAGAGAGAGAGAGAGAGAGAGAGAGAGAGAGAGAGAGAGAGAGAAAGAAAGAAAGAAAGAAAGAAAGAAAGAAAGAAAGAAAGAAAGAAAGAAAGAAAGAAAGAAAGATATGAAGGAGAAAGAGGGATGTGGTGTGGCAGTTAGCAAGTTGCTATAATAATACAGAATAGCTCTTCTTACACTTCACTGGATATGCAGCACCTGGAGATCCTCTCAAAATGCAGATTCCGATTCAGGAGGTCTGGGGCAGGGCCTGAGATTCTGTGTGTCTAACCAGCTCAGGGGGTTGCCTATGTTAGGGCCACTCTGCTTAGTAAAAATACAGACGGTACCCATGGCACTCAGAGTGGAAAGAGCAAGACAGAAAGAATGGAACTGATTCTATCCAATAAAAGAGTAATATGCAGATTGACCATCATCCCAATACACAAGATGGCTACACCCATGTGGTCAAAGATCTTGCTCCCATGTGGACACAAGATGGCTACCACAGATGGCCAGCAGGGGAGGGCAGTTAGGAGAGATCCTAATGGCAAGGGAAGGCAGTTGGGGGCAATCAAGCCTGAAGGGGAGGGCAGTTAGGGGTGATCAGGCTGGCAGAGGAGGGAAGTTGAGGGTGACTGGGCCTGCAGGGAAGGGCAGTTGGGCAGGAACCAGGCCTACAGGGGAGGGCAGTTAGGGGTGACCAGGCTTGAAGTGGAGGGCAGTTAGGGGCAAACAGGCTGGCATGGGAGCAGTTAGGCATCAATCAGACTGGCAGGGGAGTGGTTAGGGGGTGATCAGGCTGGCAGGCAGAAGTAATTAGGGGCAATCAGGAAGGCAGGCAGGCAAGCAGTTGGGAGCCAGCAGTCCTAGATTGTGAGAGGGATGTTTAACTGCCCATTTAGGCCCAATCCTGATGGGCCTAACCCTTGAGGGTTCCTAGATTGGAGAAGGTGCAGGCTGGCCTGAGGGACACCCCCACTCTGTGTACGAATTTCATGCCCCGGGCCTCTAGTCTATAATAGTAAAAGCATAATATGCTAAGTAGACTGAATGTCCTTCTGGACAAAGCTGGGGCTGGGAGGGAAGCTTGGGTCCCGGGTGTCTGCAAGCAGCTGGAGGGAAGCCCTGTTCCTGGTTGCCAGAGGGAAGCCAGTACTGGCAGCTAGGGGAAGGAAGGTCTCCTCTTGCATGAATTTCATGTATGGAGCCTCTAGTATACATATAAAAGCCTAAGCAACATTTATGACTGGTCAACCAAACAACTAGTCAATCAAACAACTGGTTGACCAGTTGCTATGACACGCACCTACCACTAGGGATAGGCGCTCAACTCAGGAGCTGCCCCCTGGTGGTCTGTGGGCTCCCGCAGCCAACCTCCTGCTGCAGGCTCACCTCCCGCAGTCCCTTCCCCCAGCAGGGACTGGGCAAGATGGCCCCAGTCAGCCCTAATCGCTGGCCAGGCTGAGGGACCCCACCTGTGCACGAATTTGTGGCCTGGGCCTCTAGTGGATAATAATCTCAATAATTTTCAACAAATGCAGAAATTATGCATTTTATAAAATTTCTCAATACTGCTCAATATGAATGCCAAGGTCATGATATCAAATGGTAACTCAGTGATTCTGATGGCCATGACTAAGTAACTGATAAAGCTCAGTTAAGGCTTAAAAAGAAAAGATAGATTGTATATCTGGTAAAGTATATCCAGACATGTGGCTGCCAACTGATAAAGCTCAGCTAAGGCTAAAAGAGAGATGATAGATCCTATATTTGGTAAAGTTCCTTCTTTCTCTGCTGAAGCTTCTCTCTGCTTGACTTTGAAGCAAGCTAGAGAACAGACATGCGGCACAGGCCCAGAGACCTGGCTGACAGGCGTTGACAACCACAGCTGGCAGGCTTTCCAATCTGGGAAGAAAGTCAAACATACCAGACTTGTGATACTGGAATGGCATGACAGCCAGTCTGGCCAGCGCTCCACACCATAGACAACTGTGGGATGACAGTAGAATGATGCCATATCCAGGTGAACCAGCTCCCATGACAGAATAAACCTCAGAAATGCTCCTGAGAGCACAGGCTCATGTGTTAACTACCAGGGCCAAGGGATGCAAAACATGTCCTTGGGAACAGGCCACCAGGTACCACTGTGCAGTGCTCTGCACAAGGATGCCGGCTGAAGGAGGGCACTGGCGTCAGCCACATCATCCTGCAGAAGGGGGCACTTTTCTCTAATTTGCACACAGATTCCAAATAGGCCACAAACAGCCTTGTTGGGCATCAGAAATGAGACAAAGGGTACTCCTCAACTCTACAGGATGCCATTCATGTGGTATCTATGTCAATGATGACTCCCTTCAAGATGTGGCAGCCTAGAAATATGGAATTGTTTAGTAGTGACAGCTGGAGTTTTGAAAGCTAAACACAAAAGATAATGGTTTCTGTTTTGACAATAATGAGTTGTTTTTTTGTTTTGTTTTGTTTTAAATATAGTTTTGTTAATTTAAGAGAGGAAGGGAGAGTTAGAAACAACAATGATGAGAAAGAATAACTGATCAGCTGCCTCCTGTACACCTCATCCTGGGAATTGAGCCTGCAACCTGGGCATGTGCCCTTGACCGGAATTGAACCCAGAATCCTTTAGTCCACAAGACAATGCTGTATCCACTGAGCCAAACCAGCTAGGGTAGTTGTTCTTTTTAACAGTCATTAGCTATCAGGGTAAACTGACTCCTAGCCTTTATTTGGAGCTTTTCTTAATTACACCATTCATTAAAGCTCTTCTGGTTTCTTCCCTTTCTCTCTTTTGTTCTTTTGTTAATAGATTCTTTTTTTTTCTCTTTTCTTTTTTTTTTTCCTTAACGAGAGGATTTGTAACACAAAAGTAATCCATCAACCAGCCTTTTGGGAGATAGCACCGGCTGCTCAGGGATTAAGCACCTGCCTTCAAGTCAGAGTCCCTGAGCTCCAATTCCGGCTCTGCCACCTGCCTGATTGTGTGAGTGTGCCCAACTGAGCCTAAGTCTATAAAAGGAGGGTAACAGCAATGCCCTGCTCCTATGTGTCTGTGCAGATTAACTGAGATGACTCATATACATTGTTTAGCACTGTTCCCAGCGCCAGTAAATCTGAACTTTTATGAGTATTGGTCTAAACCAGGTGAGATGATGGTCTGTTCCAACAAGATGCCTCCTGCCTATGCTACTACTGCTTTGGCATTAAAATGCATTCCCACCAAGAGTGCATGGTGGTTCCCTTTTCTCTGCATGCTCACCAACACTTGTTTGTTAATTTATTGATGGTAAACATTCTGACAGGTGATATCTCATCTTAATTTTCATTTCTATCATGATTAATGATGTTCAGCATCTTTTCATATGTCTAGTGGCCATCTGTGTGTCCTCTTTGGAGAAGTGTCTATTCAGGTTCTTTGTCCATTTTTAAAATTGGATTGTTTTTGGTTTTTTTTTTTAGTGTTCAGTTTTATAAGTTTGTTACAAATTTTGGATATTAACTCCTTATTAGACGTGTCATTGGCGAAAATGTTCTCCTATTCAGTGGCTTTTCTTTTCTTTTGTTAATGGTTTCCTTTGCTGTGCAAACACTTTTCAGTTTGATGTAGTCCCATTTGTTTATTTTTTCTTTTGTTTCCCTTGCCTGAGGAGACATATCGGAAAAATATTGCTACAAGAAATATCCAAGATTTTACTGCCTATGTTTTCTTTTAGGATTTTTATGGTTTTGAGTCATATTTAAATCTTTAAGTCATTTTGAATTTATGCTTGTGTATGGTGTAAGAAGGTAATGGTGATCTACTTTCATTTTTTTGTGCATATTTGTACCATTTTCCTATCATCATTTATTGACTGTCTAGTCTATCTTTAAAATGGTCTATCTTTACTCCATTCATGTTTTTGCCTTCTTTCTAGAATATTAATTGACCATAAAGGTGTGGGTTTATTTCTGGGCTCTTTATTCTGTTCCATTGATCTATATGTATGATTGTATGCCAGTACCATGCTGTTTTGATTGTTATGGCCTTATAGTATAGTTTGATATTAGGAAGTAGATAATGAAACTTAGAACTTAAAATTTCTTCTGTTATGATTTTCAAAGGATTTATAACTGATTAATAATTTTTAATTTAATTTAAAACTAGTGTGTAAAAATTCCCCAAATATCCAGTTTATTAAAAAATATACACAAAACTCCTAAGTCCTACCTTCTTGACCACCGGTAGCAGACTCTTCCCTGACCACAGCAATTCAAGCCAGGTATCCTGTGTCCTCCGGATCTTTTCATTATCATGCCTTCTCTGAAAGAGATATCAAGGTAACCCATCATCTTCACATTCCCATCTCACTCTTAGCTGAGACAACCTTGCAATGTGAGACTAAATAAACTGCTTCATTCTCACGACTTTCCTGTTTTTTCTCTCCTCCTTCACCTTCAGATAGCTCAGTACCCTATTTGCTAGGATGAGTCCTAGCAGCTCATCCTCAAAGCACTCCCCCAACAATGATCTTTACTTTAAAAAGTTAAGCTCTTTATCATACTGAGCTCTCAAATTGTGAAGGAAAATAATATTTAAGTAAATTTCAATCTTTGTTGCATAACATACCTTTTACACAGGATTATTTTTAGTCATGGAAATGAGTGATGAGCAGCTAACTTTTATAAGTGCTTAGAAGGGATCTTATATATTTGAGTTTTTAAAAACTGACATATTCACATATAACATTATATTGAGATATTATTGACATATTATATTAGTTTTAAGTATACAATACAGTGATTTGATATTTGTATATAATGTGAAGTAATTGATCACCACAGTAAGTCTAGCTACCACCCATCATTTCACAGTTACAATATTTGTCTTATGATGAGGACTTTTAAGATCTACTGTCTTAGATATTTTCAAATATGTAATATAGTGTGTTTGATTTTTAATACATTCTCCCACATCATATTTGTTACCTGTATTAAACAGTACAACTGTGGGGTTACAGAAAATTGGTGCTCTAAGCACATAAGAAAGAGGGTAGAGCAATTGCTACTTTTGTTTCTGTAGCAAGATATTTTGTTTTGCCTAAATAGATCCCTTCAGTTGCTCTGCCTCTGATGAGAAGAAGCAACCAGTAAAACTAGATGAGTCCTATCATCCTGGCATACCAATAAATCCATTTTTTTATATTTAATAAATTTTTATGTTCAGATTATTATAACTGTACCTCTTTCCCCTCCCCATAACTCCCCTCCACCAGGTTCCTACCCCACCCTCTGCCCTTAAATCTAATGTTAATACTCATCAATATTCATACTTCTCTTTAAAAATCCAACACGGGAACTTACATGCCCTTTGGTCCCAAGTCATGAATGAAAGACAGCTGGCTTATATCAAGAAATTCTGTCTGAAAAGAGCCAAAAATCCATACTTTAAAAAGTCAGAAGAAAAGAAAAATTTATGCATTTAAAAAAACACGTTAGTTACTTCAATGTGCAAACACTTCTGGGATACTGCACAGACTACACAGATCAATAACAATGGTTTTTTTCCTGAAGAGTCCAGATAAAAAGTATATGCATAAATAAAACACAAGCAAGAAAGTGATGTGTGCTGTACTATGTAGAAATAAAATGCTCACATAGGCCCTGGAGAAAGAATTTCCTCCCAAATTCTTTTGTGCTTGTTTTTTTTTGTTGGGGAAGGGAGATTGTGTGGCATAGTATACCTACAAATAATAAAAGAATTCTGTGAAGGGAGTGATGCTGGTACTAGAATTGGAAGATGGACTGGCATGTGGAAATGGGAGATGAAGGGGAATACATAAGAGGAAAAGTGTAAAAAGGTCATTGGATGTACAGCTGAGCTAGAGACAGTCAGATAAAGGAAAGTAACTGAAAATTAAATGGCAAAGTTGGTTGAGGGGATGTTGGGGAGGGGTTTTTGAACACTAGGAATACTAAAATATTCTAATAGAAATGTAACAAAATTACAATTAAATAATAAAAATTTAATTAAAATTTTAAGTAATTATAATATAAAATAATTTTAGTGAGTATAATGGGAGAGAAATTTTGATCTACCTTCACTAAACAAATTATGAGACAATTAAAAACTATAAATGTTATAATAACATCCCTGGCTAACATTTACTGAGTATTTAACATCATTGACCCTGTACTAAGAATTTTTCACACATTATCTTCAACCTTTCTGATTGATGTGTCTCTCTCACATTGATGTTTCTCTGAAATAGGTACTATTTGTCCTATTGTACAGAAGAGGAAATTGAGGTTTAGAACAGGAATAGGCAAACTTTCTTTGCAGTGTCAGACAGTAAATATTTTAGGCTTCATGAACCATATAAACTACTGTTGCATGAAAGCAGCCATAGATAATACATAAATGAATAAGCATGACTGTATTCCATTGAAACTTTCTTTATCCATACTAAACTATGAATTTATTATAATTTTATGTCATGAAATATTATTCCTTTTGTACTTTTTTCAATTTTTAAGAATGTAAAAGCTATTCATATCTCACGAACCATACGAAAACTGGCAGTGGACTGGGTTTGGTCCAATGGGTCACAATTTATCATCCTCTGATTTAGAGACGTTAAAGAAACTGTTCGAGATCACAAAATTAGCAAGAGGTGTTCAGAGTTAGGTCAGACCAGTCAGTATTCTCAAAAGTAAGCTGCCAAGGCAAAAAGTCATCCAACATTTATTCTACTAAAATTGAGTAACTTTATTCTACCTAGGTGAGTACTAGATGAAAATGTGGAGGCACAGAGGGGAAAACCAATGAATATTATATAATTCTTAGCATGTATACTCCTTGAAACAACTAGAGATTAACACTATTTTGCTCCCAATTTAAAGAAGCGGCCACAGTAAACCCAGATCTGCCAATGGACTTTGACCATGTCAATAACAGCCTTACTAGAAAAATCAGACAAAAAATACATACTCCTGGCATCAGGAAGCAGAAAAGAGGTGGATATGGAAAGCACTTCACATCCACAAAGTTCTGTGGGAAGAACCATAACGGTTACATGTGAAAGTCTTTAGAGAGTTGTAGAGACAGGGTGACTGCTTCCTGGCTGATATGACATTGCAGGAGAAATAATAGTCAATCGAGGCTAGTAAATGAAATTAATAACATGAAACATAACAGTTTTCCTTTAAACTTTGTATATGTGATTAGAAATACCTACTATTAACCTTGTAAGTACTTAACAGTTAAGGTCTTTACACTTCATTTCTTAAATTAATCATAGTGATTCCGTACTATGCATTTTTAATCTGATTTGTGGAAATGCTTACTCACTGAAAAATGTAGTAACACATATTAGAAGTGACACTGAAGCTCTGAGCCACAGAATCCAAAAGTTTTAAAACTCTAAGCCACAGATCTACTTATCTCTAGGGAACAGAGAGAAAGTGTCATTCCCAAAGTACCCGGGAAGAAACTATCATAGAGGTGTGGTTAATTTATGCAAAGTCACAGAATAGTTGAATGGAAGAATAGGAAATGAAAGCAAATATCAAGAAAACCTCTTATCTAAAACCTGACTATTTCCTTAATCACATAGCTCTTATCAGCAAATAGTTGACAAAAATATATTTTTTAAAATAATTCAGAAGTCATAACTTTACAATATCGAAACAAAATTGCCAAGGCTAAAGAATTTCATCTAAATTTAAAAGTACTAGTATACATTAGCAATACAATACATTAAAGTTGTGCATTACTGTAAAATTTTAAATTATCCTAATGGCTTAGTAAAATTTGACTAAAGAGAGATTTTGAGAAAGACTTGGCCATGCTGTAGAGAAAAGGGAAACTATCTGGCAATACATATTCTAATACAGATTTATCCAATTGAAAGTAAATGTGACAAGATCAATTGAGAAGCACAGCTAAATAATAAATCTAAAATTTAACAAAGATTATGTTGTCTAAACTTCTCAGGGTATCTTCAGCGATAAGATTTCTGTTCTCCATTTGGGCAGGTGATTCTCAGGGGTAAGAATTTACTCATTGCCTGCTGAATGTGGCTCAATGGTTAAGCGTTGACCTATGAACCAGGGGTTCAAGGTTCCATTGTTGGTTGGGGCACATGCTCCAAACTTACAGAATGTGTTCTAGACATTTTCTTTGGAAGGGAAAACCTAGCTATACCTGACTGAAGATATGTTCTTCCTCATTTTTGATGGTTATTTAAATTATTCCCCCAACAGAAGAACTCTCAAAAATGATTCAAGCCTTTCAGGCTCATCCCCAGTGTGGGGCTTGCAGGAGGCAGCCAATCAATGATTCTCTCTCATCATTGATGTTTCTAGCTCTCTCTCCCTCTCCATTCTCTGAAATCAATAAAAACATATCTTTTAAAAATAATTTAATCATTAATTTAGCCTGACAATATTTCATAGAGCTTATTGATCTCTTGAATAATGTACAAACCAATATCATTTTTTCCCTCTAAGTAACTTGAAAAAAGTATGTTAGGGAAACAGAGAAGCAAAGAGTTCCCTTGCCAAAGGACAAGAAACAAATGCCAAGGGTAACAACAAACCCTGGGAGTGATTTCACAACCACATACACACTGCTTTTCTACCTCATCTTTATATTAGAAAGGGGATGTTCAGAGGCCCCCCTTTATTCCTGAGGCAACAAAATTCAAGAGAGTGGCCAAGTGGGACATTCTCGGAGGTAATGAAGACAAAAGCATGGGGTTGGGCAGTGCCCTTACAGTAAGGGTGGGAAGTGGGCTTACTCACTCCTGGAAGGGTGCCTGCCAGGTAAAACAATGCAGCTCTGGAAAGAAGAGAAGACAGCTCATCTGTGGAGGGAAGGAGAGGCTCCACAGCATCCAGTCTCTCCCAACTAAGACCCATTCATGAGAATGGCATTTCCATTCATTGCAAATATTGCTGTTTAAATTAATACAGCTTTTCTTTGTTGGAATGGAAACATCACTGTGTATCTTTATTAGTTTTACCCACTCTTCTCTTCAAGCTAAATTTATATATCTTAAAAAGAAAGGGAGAGGTGAGCTCTGTGAGATGTTTATTCTCAGATTCCTTACTTCCAAAGTGGTGATTTCAAGCTAATCATCACCTTAGAGAAAAGGAATGTTAAGTTAAGGAGTCTGATGATTAACTTGAAGTTAGTGATAACACTTTATCAGCTTACAGCCCTTCTCTTGGAAATTATTCACTGGGTTCCATTTCTAGATTCTAACCTACAGTCAGGAAAAAGTACATGTATTGTTTCTAATGACTTCTCCTTTAAATTCCCTGGAAGATACGTAAGCATTTTCTAGTTATTAATTAAAATACCCAGTTAGTGGGTTTGGTACTACAATTCAGGACACAAAAGGAATCTTGTTTGAAATTGTATATGTTATACTTTAAACAATAAATAAATAAATATTTTTTAAAAGAAATTGTATATGTTATTTTTTTTCTAATTATATGGATTCCTTGAGAAGAGATGAAATATTCCCATTTTACAAATGAGTAGAGAAAACAGAATGAATTACCAATCATCTCTGAGGGAACTATTTAATGTAATGTTAAATCTACTAAAACACTAGGACACTTTGCTTTTCAGAACCTCAAAGAGGAAAAGAGGAATTAAAACTCCTGGAGGAAACGGAGGCTATCTAAGTATTAATTTATACAGTGACCATATAGAAGTAGGAAGAGCCCTGGCCAGTTTGCTCAGTGGTGAGAGTATCAACTCTTGGACCAAAGGGTTTCAGTTCTTTCAATTCCCAGTCAAGGTTACATACCTCAGTTGCAGGCTCAATCACTGGTCTGGTTGGGGAGTGTGCAGGAGGCAACTAATTGATGTGTCTCTCTCACACTGATGTTTCTCTCTCTCTCTTTCTCTCTCCCCATCCCATCTCCCCTCCACTCTCTCTCTCTCTAAAAAAAATAAAATAAATAAAATAAAATAAAAATAGAAGAGTTGTCCAAGTCTAATTGTACTAAAATTTTATTGAAATTAAGGAAATGATCCTTCTTATCCCTTGACCTATGATCCACAATCCTATTGGCCTAAGGACCCAAATTACTTAGACACATAGTGCCAATCTAATTTCACAAATATGAGGTGGAGGTTTTCACATCTAGTCTCTAGGCCAGATTACATTTAGTATGAAAAGAGAATAATGTCAGAGAATTAAGATAGATCAAATTGTATCTAATGCTTGAATTATTTTTGAGAGTTCTTCTGTTGGGGGAATAATTTAAATAACCATCAAAAATGAGGAAGAACATATCTTCAGTCAGGTATAGCTAGGTTTTCCCTTCCAAAGAAAATGTCTAGAACACATTCTGTAATTTTTAAATACACTATGGGTCAACTTTGGAAATATTTTTCTGACTAAAAAAGAAATCAGAATAAACATTTTTGAAAAGTGTGTAATCAACATTAGAATCCAAAATATAATAATGTGTGTGGGAAGAGAAAACTAAATTCAGCAAATACAGTTCCAGAACCAAAAGGAAGAGTAAAAGTAAAGTCACAGGCAGGCAGAAAAGTAAAACAAAAGGAACTTCATTACATCCTGGTACCAGTGCTCATTTAAAGAACTCCCTACTAAAGAGAAGAGCATGTCTGAAAACAGGTTTCAGAGAACGCAATAGGAAGCAGCATTTTTAGTAATAAGAGCAGTAATAACTTCATTTGTTACATCCATTCAAAGTTGCCTACTTCCAAGTCCATGAAGGAAAGAAATCCTTCCCATTCCTTCTCTTGAGATCCACTGGTTGGACCCAGATTTCTGCTTTCCCTGGGAAAACTCTTCCCCAGGATTATGAAAACATGCGAGCTCCTTCAAGTCCACCATGGAACATCCCAGGGCAAGCTGCTGCAGAAGGCGTCCATAGTCTTCCCCACCCCCCCAACCTGGTAATTTACCTATAAAGGGGGCCAGCTGGGTGCATACTCGACCTTCCAAATAATATGCTGTCAGGCAGCATGAGGGCAGAGTCAAGATGCTCTTGCTTCTTCTCCTAAATACCAGAGGTCTTCCCTCTTTCTGTGTAGTATTTTATGTGACACCATTCTCTAAACTAGAGGCCAAGTCATAACTGCACCTATTCTCAAGTTCTGTACAGACACCACATACATACATCCAACCCTGCAGCAATACAGTTCATACCTACGCAGACACAAAGTCTAATAATCCATTGCATTGTCATTTATCTGGACCTTCACATAAGCGAAGGCTAACCCTTTAAAAACAGCACCTTCAAGGGCCTCTAAGCCAGCAAAGCTAGTGTTTTCTGATATCCTCTGTAAGGCCACGCTCCACTCTGTGTGTGCTTCCCAGCTGCTTGCAAGTTCCACCATCTCTTATTTTCCAATAGTTACTTTTCTCCCTGGCTTTTCCCAGGCTTCTCACTTTCACACGAAAAGACAGGCCTTTTATAAGCATCACGGGCCGATCAGATGGCATTCACAGCATGCTCCATAAAATCTCTGGGCATTCAGGTCTGTTCCACTCTTTTCATCACTTTCTAATACTTAAAGTTTTCTCTTAAGGGTTAGGAATTCTTTGGGACTTTATTCTGGAAGCCTGAGGAGAAAAGTAGGCTGATTTCTAGATAATCTAACCTGTAGCAGCATTTCAAGTTCATTTAAATCTACTGTTACAGACATATCAGTTATATTTTTGTATCTTAAAAATAGCATCACCATAACCTAGATCCTTTCTGTCAAATCAATTTTGTGTTATTTCATTTATTTTAACACAATGAATAATCCAAAAGTGGATACAAGTACCTGTGTTAATAAAATGATCCAAGATTTAGTTGATGATCTATGATTTTATATAATAAATTATTTGAAATAATAATAACTTATTTAATATAATTTCAATTAAAAATAATAATAACTTATTTAATATAATTTCAAAAATAGTACTTACTGTTGCATGATAGTTTCTGTACATGGGCATTTTTAGTAGCTTTGTCAAGTAATCTTCCAGTTGTTTCTGTAATGCAAACATTTTAGATAAGTAATAACATCATCACACTTAGAGAAAAATTTAAACAGTGCCAATAATGTGATCATCAGCCCATCTTATCTTCTGTAAGTTATTTTAATGATTTATTAATGTTACTGCTGGATAAGGAATCCTGAATCGTATTAAGAAGTTATTTCATAGTTCCCTTGAACCATTATTTAAATCTCTTCTTCTTAAATTTTTACATACTTAGGTCTTTTATAAGCTGCTGACAAGGCCCCAGCAGTATGTTCTCTTAATCTTCCATAATTACTAGCACAGAACTTGCCCATAATGGGTGGTTTTAAAGCATTTCAACAAATGCTTTATAAAACACCTGAATTTCCTCAATTCTGACATTGAATTTACTGGAATATGTACTGTAATTCTTAAATATATTTTCAGGGGGGAAGCAAGGAGGGAGTTAAATAAAAAGAGACTTTCTAGTAAATTGTACTCTGACTTCAAATATGTTAAGATGAAAGGGGGTCAGGGGGTTGTCAATTGTACTGACTACTATGCTTGCTGAAGTACCAACTGTTAAAGCCATAGTTTATCGCTTTCAACTGCACTCACATATGTACACATGGTAACCCAAAACTATAGAATTTTATTTGTCTAGGTATCTACGAAAATATATGTATTTCAGGCCCCTAAAAAGATTGTAATCAAGATGACAACTACAAAGATCCCTTTTAGACCATAAAAGTTTCAGATGGCAAAAGAGTACTAACATTTATTTGTTAATTTTCTAGTAAAAAATTAATTTATCCTATGCAGGACCACATCACTGAAGCAGAGCAGGCCTGAGGTTTCTGTCCTACTGATGTTCATGTGCTGCTCTATCCTCCTCTCCATAGATATATTCCCAACATATATTTAGGTCAAACTATTCAAATTCTGAGGCAAATGCATGAAAATGTATGACTTAAAAAGAGAAGATCTCAAAACTCAATAATGAGCTCAATCTTGACTCACAACGAACCCATAATGGTCCCTGCAGGGAAGACAGCTTCTTCACAATATCACTCCTACAAAAGGAAACACTTCTGGAAAAATGCAACATCCCAGTGTCAGAACAGCGTGGGGGAAAGAAGGTTGCCTAACCCATTCCAGGGGCGAATCACCAGCCAGGATAATGGGTTGCTGAGAAAAATTGAAGCCAGACCCTCCTCACCCCTCAGTAGATCCATGTTTCTACAATGTGGCAAAGCTATGTTCTGAACAAAAGAACGGTGAGGGACTTACCCTCCTGCCAAGGAACTGTTCCTCTTTCATCATGTTTTCAGAGGAACTGGGCAAGCTTGGCATCTCCCGAGGCTCTTCTTTGACATTCTGTCTTCTAAATGTGTGTCTGAAACACACACACACACACACACACACACACACACACACACACAAACACAATGCACACATTTACTAGATTATTCTTTGAGCCACGACTCTCTGATATCTTTCCATTTTAAAATCTTTTTTATATATATTTTATTGATTTTTTTTTTTTTTTTTTTACAGAGAGGAAGGGAGAGAGATACAGAGTTAGAAACATCGATGAGAGAGAATTATCGATCAGCTGCCTCTTGCACTCCCCCTACTGGAGATGTGCCCACAACCAAAGTATCGGGTCTAGTAACAATTAATGTCGTTTTTAAACATTCATTTAAAATCTTGCTTGGCGTTGACTTGTATTGACATAACCTTCAAACACGTGGTATCTACAGAACGTGTGAAGTGCAATTAACAAGTTTTGCTTGAAAAAGTTTGTGTTTGGTTTGGTTTTTGTTGCAAAACTAGGGCTAAGAAGATGGCGGATGAAGAGCATATTCGGCACTGCATGCTTTACGAGTTCCAATTAGGAAGAAAAGCAAGTGAGGCTGCAAAAAACATCTGTAGTGCTCTTGGTCAAGATGCAGTTAGTGCCAGAAAATGCCAGCATTGGTTTGAGAAATTTCGTGAGGGAAATTTTTCGTTAGTTGACAAGAGTGGTCGAGGCCGTGTGTCCAATTTTGATCAAGAAGCTCTTCAAGCTCTTTTGGTGCAAAATCCTCAAATTACCCAACAAGAGCTTACGACAACTTTAAATTGTTCACAAAAAACAATTTCCAATCAATTGCGTGCTCTTGGCAAAGTCCAAAAGTTTGGAAAATGGGTTCCTCATGAGTTGACCGACAACAACCGTAATCAAAGAGTCACAATTTGCAGTTCGCTCCTCTCTCGTCAAAACCGTTTGCCGTTTTTAGAGCAAATTGTTACCAGAGATGAAGAATGGGTGCTGTATGTTAATTTGAAAAGGCGGCCTCAATGGTTGGACAAAAATGAGGCTCCGCAGCCCACGCCAAAACCTGACTTGCATGCGAAAAAAGTGATGTTGTGTGTTTGGTGGAATTTTAAAGGAATTCTTCATTATGAACTTTTACCATCTAACCAAACCATTACAAGTGCAGTGTATAGTGCCCAATTGGAAAGGTTAGCCCAAGCTTTAAGAGAAAAAGAACCCGCGCTGCTTAATCGGAAGGGCGTAATTCTTCACCACGATAACACACGACCGCATACTGCAAGAATCACTGCTAAAAAACTGCGCCAGTTGGAATGGGAAGTTCTCCCTCAACCTGCATATTCTCCTGATATTGCCCCTTCCGATTACCATTTGTTTCGTTCTTTGCAAAACTTTCTTCTTGGAAAAAAATTTCATAATGAAGAATGCCTCAAAAATGCATTGACCGAATTTTTTGCATCAAAATCACAAGAATTTTACAACAGAGGGATTAAAATGCTTCCTGAGCATTGGGCACAAGTAGTAGAAAACAACGGCAACTATATTGTTGATTAAATTTTGTTGTATTGTTCAAATAAATTCGATTTATAAAAGGTATTAGAAAACGACATTAATTATTACTAGACCTAATACATGCCCTTGACCAGAATCAAACCCAGGACCCTTCAGTCCGCAGGCTGAGGTTCTATCCACTGAGCCAAACCGGTTTCAGCAACTCTCTAATATCTTTTGTGAGATGGCTTATTACTGGAAGACAGTAAGTTCTACTTAATAGAACATATCTACCAACAATAGACAGTTAACTCATAATATGAATAAAACACACTTTCCACTCAACTTGGACATCTGGGCAACCTTATAATTAATTCTGCAACAATTACCTTCTGGTGGGAATGGGGATTCGGATAAAGGCTTTGTACTTGAGCAGTTCTCTGTGAAATTCTTGAAAATGCTTGAATTTCCTTTTAACTTGCCATTTAAATTCCCCATGGGTTAATTCAATAGTGTAAAGATTGATACACCGTGCCTAAGGAGATAAATGAAAAGGATTGGTATTTTAGACAACAATAAAAATTCTGATGAACAGTAGCTAATTAATAAGTAACATGGAAGTACCCCTAAATCCAACCTATTTATTTTGTGTAAGTACTTAAGTAAAATGTTTTCAAAAACAACTAGTTACAGAATAGTATTCTCTTAAATGTTTGTCTTATAATATTCATAAGACAAACACAAAATCTCACTAAAAACAAACTCCCACAAATCCTATTTCTCCAAACTTACATATATACACACATAGAGAGACACACACAGACACACACACACACACACACACAGCTGAAACAAGAAACCAAGTCAAGGAGACAATGAGTGAAGGCCCTACTTAGCCATCAGGGATTGTCCAAAAGTATGAGCAGTGAGCAGACAGTAGGAGGGGTGAGAGGGAAGCTGGAGGAGTGGATCCCAGGAGTATTACCTTGGCCCACTTTTTGCCCTTCACAAATGGCATTATACCTTCTTCTGAAATGCATTTCAAGGTCCCTCCTTGTCTACATCTTCCTGTCCTGAAGCCCCGCCCATAACCAGGAAGGAACAGGTGCATTAGAGGGAAGGGAGCACAAGATCTTCCTACCCTCAAAATATTTTCCCTAACAACTTAAGTAAAATAATTCAAAACTATATCTTATGAAATGCAAATATATCTTGGCAACTAGTGAATTATTTCAATCAGAAGAGCTAACAGCCCTGGGGAATATAAATTCTGATATAGTAGAAGATGTCATGAGATGGAGGGGTATTTATAAATAAAGCACAGGAGTTATTAAAGGAAGATCCATAGTGTTTGGGGGGGAGGGGCGCAGGAATTAAAGTGGTGAGGAGGAAGTGGGGGAGGGGAATAGGTACTCTGGACCACCTAGAGGACACTAGGCCCTGCCAGGAGACTTGGGTGTCATAGATGCTGGGAATGAGACAGAGTAAATGTCTCCTACTCTGCTAGTTTATCCAGGTTGCAGTGTCAGCAATCTCATGAATGATTCCTGGCCTGTGGCCATTGGTTACTGGTATTTGCCATATATTTCAAATTTCTAAAGCACAACCACTCTGTATTGATGTACAATATGAAACACAAGTATGGGAGTCTATGTAATTTGTGCTCTTAAATCTGAAGTCCAACCATATCAATGATAAATATTCAAATTTAGCACTTGCTTTGCATCTAGTTAGGATCCATGATGGTTATTACAACTGGAAATTAAATGAACCAAGTTCTAGGTCTGATTCTATATGCTGCCTTTCTCCTTGCATCACCTTGTATAGTGCAAAAAAAAAAAAAAAAAAAAAAGATGCAGAAAACAGAATGGCCAGAAACTTCGCATTCAAGTGAAAAATGCTCAATTTAAGGTAAGTCAAATAAATAAGAAAAACTATGCAATGTAAGCAAGCTGTAACATTTCTTAGTATTCTACTTCCCAGTCTAAGAAAATGAAATACTTAACCAAACATTGCAAATGCCAAGTTTTTTTTGTCACCGATAAACCCTATGTGTTTTGTACACTAAATTTCTTCACAATTGTGAGGCAGTATGGTGCAATGGAAATAGCCTGCCACAACCTTTTTGAAAAATTTTAAAGGTCTGAAATTCTTTGATGCAGCCTGCCAGCTGGGAAGCCTCAACCACATGTTGGACAACATCCCAGCAGAATTACTGGAATTCTTTGGAACTGGAATAATTTGAGGAGTCTTAATAAAGGAACTGCCTGCCAGTGAAGATGTTACAGGGCTAAGAAACCATAAAGAAAGGACAGTCACCTGGGACTTGTGAAGGCATCCCTGGTTTTAAAGGGACAAGTGGCAGAACAACTGGCAGGATCAGGAGCTGGAATGGAAGGAGAGATCTGTGGATGCTTTGGTGGGGAGATGGGGGCCTTTGGTCAAGAGACACAGCCATCCTGGGTGACCTCAATCTCTTACCTGGGCTCTCCAAGAGGATAAAGCAGATAGCAGGTTGGGGCAGGTGGGTGGAGGAGCAGCTAGAGGGGCAGGTGGAAGATCGCCATCCTGGGAGGGCAGGTGATAACACCTGTCTCATCAGGTTGTCACAAGAGTGAAAAGAGAAGTGCTTAGCCATGAACTGGCACAGAGGATGTACTGATTCATCAGAAAAGGGGTCATTTTATTTACCTGGAATCACACTCCATCTGCAAGAATTTAGTTCATATTTCTTAGAAAATGAAACACTAAGTAGTATATGGATAATCCTTAGCTTTCTCATACAGACTAAGGTAAAGAGGTGAAGGAAGTAAGAAGTACAAATTGGATGTTATAGAATAGTCATGGAGATGTAAAGTGTAACAAAGGGAATACAGGCAATATGTATGGCCTCAGATGGGTACAAGATTTACTGTGGTTGATCACTTAGGAAGATATATAGTGTCTAATCACTGATATGTATACCAGAACTAATGTGATATTGTATGTCAACTGTAATTGAAAAATAAAATGCATAAAATAAAACAGAACTAAGCCAAACTCATTGGACTAACAGAAGAGTATATGCAAAGAGAGAAGTTTGTGGTTTGGTGGCTTCAATGTTTGTATAGTACAATATATAATACTAGGGGCCCGTTGCAGGAAGATTCTTGCAAGAATAGGGCTTTGGGTGGGCTTTTCTCCCACCACCACCACCTCTCCCGCCTCCCTCCCTCCTCTCCCCATCTGCGGCCTTTACCCCCCACGTCCAAGCTTTTTCTCCACTACCACCCACCCCGTCCACACCACCGGTGCTTTCCCTCCCACAGCCACCTTGCTTTCTGCTTTTCCTCCCTCTTCCTTCTACTGTGTTTCCCAGAAAATAAAACATCCTCCAAAAATGAGACCTACTTACAGGTTTCCTTCTGAGTAAAATATAAAACACCCACCCCCCCGAAAATAAGGCCCTCCATAGGCTCTGACTTCTCTAAATACAATCTTTCCAACATGATTTTTATGGATGAAACTGCAGTGTTTATGGGCCAATCATCTCAAACAACAATTGAACAGCGGGGTGCCTCCTTAGTGTACATTCTCTCCACTGCTTACGAAAGTGCACATGTTTCCTGTATTTTGGCAATTTGTCTAGATGGCACTAAAATCCCACCTTTAATCATTTCTAAGGGCAAGAAGGAAAAGATTGAACATGTTTTGGGCGTTTTTATTCTTGAAACTGAAAAAGCCTGGGCCACACAAGCAGTTATAAGGAAGTGGGTCAATTTAATGCTGCCGCTTGTTATGTGAGGGAGTCAAAGAGGTCTGCTAGTCTGGGATGCAGCCAGCACTCACCGCACTAAAGACATGAAGACATTTCTTCACGAAAGAAAAATAGATCAGATAATGATTCTTGCAGGAATGACGACCTATCTCCAGACTCTTGATATTGCAATAAACAAGCCATTCAAAGACAATTTGTGCATGGAAATTAATGACTACATTGAAAATAGAATGGAGAGAAATCAGGGTGGAAACTTTGTGAAACCTAGACTGCAAGAAGTTGTGACTTGGGTGAAGAATTCATGGGAGAAAATCATTGACAGTTGCATTGCAAATGTATTGCGAGCAGGCTACCTTGACAAGAAGTACTCATTTAAAGACAGTGCTATTGCTAAACATGAGAGATTTGGTCCATTGATTCTGAAAGAAATGGAGTCCCAAGAAATTCACCAGGAAATTCAGGAATTGGATTGTTATGATGATGTTCCAGAAGATGATGACATGATTGTCATTGAATAAATGAGTAAATTCTTGATACTGTAGGATTCAGTTTGTCTGGTTTGTGTTGACAACTACCGTACTACCATACTGTATACAGGTAATACATTTCCTTTATTTTCATTTAACAATAAATGTGTACCGTATTCTTCTTCATGGAAAAATAAGACATCCCCTGAAAATAAGACCTAGCTCATCTTTGGGAGCAAAAATTAATATAAGACACTGTCTTATTTTCGGGGAAACAGGGTATGCTGTCTTCAGTCTTCACTCCTCCCTCCCTCAGCATATGCAAATTAACCACCATCTTTGTTGGGTTAATTTGCTTATTCATTCTGATTGGCTGTGGGTATAGCGAAGGTACGGTCACTTATCATTTTTCTCTTTTATTAGTGTAGATACTTGTATAATATTATGTATATTATTATTAAATTTTCATAACAAGCCTGGAAGATAGGCACTATTATGCCCTTATTCAGATGAGGACACTGAGAAACTGAGAAGTTAACTAACTTATGAGAGATCCCAAAGCAAAGACAGGAAGGAATTAAACCCTGCAGTCTGGCTCTGAGATTGCAGTTAACCCTCACATTACTGCCTCTCAGTTTAAAATCTGGTAGGCCAATAAGAAGGCAAATGTCATCTTAGAGACATTTCTGGGTGGTGTTGCTCAATGGTAAACCAGAGAAATACTGACCCAACTCATAGGAAGAGCCTAGAGCAAGCGTGGCAAACTCACAGACGGTGGGCCACATGCCTCGTTTAAATGGCTATGAGTTTTACATGCTTGGCTTAGAGGAAAGGCTGTACACCAAGGTGGGTGGAAACTACAAGTTAGAACATGCACAGGCAGGCGGGGACAGAGCACTAGGCAAAGCCATCAGGACCTAGGAAGCACGTGTCACCCTCCTAAAGTCAAAGAGGAAGGGAAGGCAAAGCCCACGGGGGCAGGAAGGTCACTCTACAGCTCCCCTGAGGCAGGAGACAAAGGTGGCCTTACTCTGCAGTGGCCTTACTCTGCAGTGGCCAGAGCTCACTCTGAGGAACAAAAGCCAACACTTTGCAGCAACTTTCCGTGTCTGTTCAACTTGGCAACTGCAAAATCCAGGCAGAAACAGAGCAAGTGCAGCTACTCTAACAGCTTCTCCTAGTCCACTCCACTTCAAAGGTTATGAAGATGTTTTACTTCCAAGGCCTTTCCAGGCCTCAGAGGGAAAACTTGTGCCTGGGGCCCAAAGGACATGTGCCAGGAACTAACCAGAGAGGCAGAATATGCCAGTAGAATTCTCTCAGCTGTACTTTGGGTAATGGCACTAGCCACTGCAGTACCCTATTTTGTTTCATTTCTGTTATTGTTTTTCTTTCAAGAGCTAGGTAGCATCATTCTATTCTTGCTAAACATGCACTAGGAAAGCTACACTTCGCTGGCATTCTAGGGGAAATGGTCATGCCCCCGAAATCCACATTGAACAGAAAACTGTGGGTGAGAAAGACCAGGAGAGGCACTTTGCAATTTGTTAAACTTCTACATTGCCTTAAATGCTTTTTTAAAAAAGTATTTTCCAGGATAGGGAAAGAGGCATGAGACTAAAGACTAAATGGGAAGAAAGCAAAATCTTGAGAGGTGATGAGGACTTGGAAGTGATAAACTCAAACCAAAACATACAAACAAGCGGAAAGCTAACACACAGGCATAGCCAGGAGAAAGGAAAACGGAAATCGGGGTGTCCATTCATACACATCGACTAATACAAGTTGAATCCATAAAGGCGCTGACCCTCGTTGTAGACGTAAAGCGCTCCACTTCCAAGACCTGGGCTCTTATTGGACAGCGAGAGAGGTATGGCTGTACGTTAGGCTCCTTAAATCCTTGAGTCTTATAAACAGCAGAGAAAGGGATATACACTAAAAAAATAAAGAAATAAAGTTATTGCAAGAACACAATGATGTTGCAAGAATACACGACAGCAACATAACTTGCCTTTTGCAGGCTTTTTTTTTTTTTTTTTTTTTTTTTTAGAATCATAATGTGCAACAATGAGAAAAGAGTTAACAAAAGTCTTAGTCCAGTGTTGCCATACCAGCAAAGAAGATCAATCATTTGCTGGTTATTTCAAATTTGTGCCCTGCCAAGCTGTGCAGATAAACTGTCTTCTCCTGGTCGTTACCTTCTTGTGTCTGGGGATCGCTGGGAGACACTTCGTAGTCCACCTCCTCTCCCTCAAAGTGGAGCTCCCGCGTGTCCAGGTTTTCTATCAAATTACTCATGTCGGCAGCGATTTTCTGCAGCACGGATGTATTTATTGTTGGCTCAGTTGTCAGTGACATGCTGGCTTCGGACAGGGTAAAAACAAAGGGGCTGGGACAGAAGAAAAGGACTTATTATTTGGGTCAATTAAAATCCTATTTCCAATTTAAATCCAGGTTTAGATACAGCCTGTAGAAACCACTAGGTCTATGTATGCCCCGGTTATCTCAAACAACCTCTCAATTTATTTTCCTGTTTAACGTGAAAGGACTCCTGGCTTATAAAGTCAACTGGAGTTGGATACCTAATTGCAAAACAAGCAAGATAAAGAAATACCACATTGAGTAAAGGTTAACATATACCTCATCCAATTTTATTAACATGAATAAGTGAAGAGAGACTCAATGGGAGATTGGTTAGGGAATGATTATTCCAAAAAAGAACAGATTAACTCAAATACATGGCAAAAAGAATATATAAAAAATAAGCAACTTGAGCCGGGACCGGTTTGGCTCAATGGATAGAGCGTCAGCTTGGGGACTGAAGGGTCTCAGGTTCGATTCCGGTCAAGGGCATGTACCTTGGTTGCGGGCATATCCCCAGAGGGGGTGTGCAAGAGGCAGCTGATCAATGACTCTCTCTCATCGATGTTTCTAACTCTCTATCTCTCTCTCTTCCTCTCTGTATAAAAATCAATAAAATATATTTAAAAAAATAAGCAACTTGAAATATTTTATTTTTAAAAACTTTATTGTTGAAAGTATTACAAATGTCCCCCTTCCACCCTTCTCCCCCACTAATAACCCCCTCTACGTTGCTCCCCTCCACCATACCCCCAGGTCTTCACCACGTATTGTCTGTGTCCACGGGTTATTTTTCTAAAGAAAATTTAAGTCATTTTATAATAATTTCAATATGTAGATTTTAAAATAATATTGTGATAGCGTAACCTTTCTACATTTGCTCTGAAGGAAGGTGACATTCCAAGCAAAGTTTATACTAACTTTTGAGATAGGTTTTGGCCATTACATGAGTTATAATGACGTACATGTCTTGAAAGGTAATTGATTAATATACCTATTCCTAAAGATACAAGAGGTGCTAGAATTATACTTCTCTCCTTTTTTAAGAAAACTGGTTCTATTTCATTCCGACATTTAATAACACAAGTCGCTGCACACCAGTACCCAGGGAAGAGGAGTTCATATCGATTTCATTTTTCATTTAAAATACTGAGATTTAAGCCTTGAGCATTGTCATCAGAGTTGGATGAAAAATCCGTCTTGCCTGAAATAACCTCTCTGTTACAACCGGGACCTAAAAGAGGAGGGCGCCCTTACCTGGAACTCCTCCACACATGCTCATCTATTAATGCAAATCACAAACATTTACTGAGCTCTGCCCATCCTTCACTCTCTGTGAGATGCAATGAGTGAATATGCAAAGATCAGAAGGCTGGTCCCTGTGACTAAGGAATGTCTGACGTGGGTGAGGGAAAGAAGCTATTGTACATAACCTCAAATTTATCCCTGGCCTCCTCCAAGGACTTGGCCTTCTTGAGAATGGCATGTGCTGAGGGGAAGACACTTAGCCGGGTTTTTTCCTGCAGGTGCTCTCAAAAAGCTGGGGGAGGGGGGTGGAATGCTAAGAGATAGTCTTTGGACCGTGAGCAGAAGTTAATATAACTCAACAAGTCTGTAAAACCTATACTGCTGTGTCTGGTAAAAAGAGATCTTGGCTGGGAGTACAAGAGAGTGGTTCTGGTTTGGCTGGATATATATAATTAACATAACTAAGTTATATCTGAGCTATGTGATCAATCACGTTTCTTTCTCTGTGTTGGCTGAAAGGAAGCCTGGAGCCAAATCTGTGGCTTATTATTAGCAAAATATAGGACTCTCCTTGTCTACATTGCTTCCCTTCAACATTCTCTCCCACTTCGAGTGTATATTGTAATAACATACTACTGCTTAGCAGTACCTGGTTTAGTGATAATACATTCTATGCATTATCACATTGAGCCTCAATAATAAATCTGGGAAGGGTTATTTCTTTTGAAGATGACAAGAGTTTGTCATCCCTCCTTTAGAGACAAGAAAACCAAGGCATTAAAAGATTGGGTTAACGTGACAAATACTTTGGACAACCTGGTCCAGGTCACATAGGAGAAGGGATCCGAAAGCAGTTCTCTCTGATCCAAGAGTTGATGTTCTCACCCTTGGTCTTTATCTTCCTGCATATTTTGGGTAGATAATGTAAGTGCCCCTGGAATAGATGGAAGTTTTAGTAAAGCACATGTTTGGGCAAGGAACAAACTCAAATGAAAAAGATAGGAGGAAATAGATTTCTCTTGCAGCTCAGCACCAAAAGATGAAGCCATTTAAATTCTCAGGGCCTTGGTTTCCTCCCCTATAAATTAAGGAGGTTGAGCCATTTCATCTCTAGAGAACCTCTAACCCTAACTATAGCAAAAAAGATGTTATAAATTGTTCAGCTTCCCTTTTACAATATAATAAATAACCCTTCTCTTATATCAATAAATTAAGCCAAGTAGTTTTCATATAAATAGGAGAAGCAGAATGCTCTTTAACCTGCACAAATTAATTGAAGTCTGCTAGAGTAAGAGCTGTTGCTTCTACTCACAAATAAAATATTTATTTCTTTCCCTCTTCATTCAACAAACACTTATGAGATGCTGACCATGACCCAGGTCTTGCTTTGTTTAAAATGCAAGGCAATGAAAAACTTTTAGAGGAAATGAGACAAGGAAAATCAATTAAGAAATTATATAATCTCATTGCTGTTTGTGAATTCATAAAGCGTTTAGGTATTTTCTATCGATTAAACGATCTTATGATTAACTCTGCCGACGTTCTTAGCATAGCAAAGGAAAACAAGAGTTACTCCAAATGACTTTCCCTTTGGAGAGAGTGTTAATGTTAAAAATGAATGTTAAACTTAAGATGTACAGAGATCAGAATAATCTATACACGGTATATAATTGGAATAAACACTACAGAGTCACTGGATCAAGCTAAAATAAATATCTTATTTCAGATAGAGAGAAAAGAAACATAAACATGTGAAAAATTTAAAGGAGAATGAGAAAAGAAACAGGAATCCTCTTATTTATCCTCAAGTGTTTACTTGTGCTAAGCACAATTTTAACACAGTTATTTTATTTAATACTCACAATGATGCTACCTGGTATTTATGATTGTTCTGAAAGATTTAGTTAAGTAACTTGTCCAAGGCCAGTCAACTTGTGTCTGTGTTGAGTTCATAAAGCAGACTTATCTAACTGAAATCTCATGAACTTGGTTACAGAGGTTCAAAACATTGATTTTATGTTATGGGCTTGAATGTCTATAAATTAATCTTTTATATGAAGTTTAAATTATATAACAACAAAATATATGCTCTACTTTCATCACCAGATCTTGGAAAAGAGCTTACTAGCCCCCCAAGTCATTACTATTATGGAAACAACATATCCCTACAACCTTTTAAATTTCTTCTTAGCCTTTGATTTTTATGGTTCATAATATCTTATAAGATCATGTGGAATTTCAGTGAAATCAAAGGGTTTACAGATTTATTCATGTTTTTTTCTGAGAACTTTACCACTTAATGAAAAGTGAACCAAATGATTTGTCCATCACTGCCTTCACTTCTGTCCATGGTTGCCTTGTGTTGACACCTCATTCAACAATTATATTGCTGGTATCATTCTTAAATATCAACTATACGGCCATCTATACTCCTAGTCAAATCTTCATTAATTAACCCTGTTTTCTGTCAGCTAAAATAATTTAAAATAGTGGGTGTGCAGCTGCCACAGTTTCAACCTATCTTAACCAGAAACAGGATAAGGGCTTCAGTGTTTACACTTGAGATAATGTAATTGATTTTGTAACCTCCTTATAAAATTATACTGCAAGATTATTATCTCTTTTGGTACCAAGTAGAGATGGTGCCCATGGAGCAATAACAGCAGCTGTGTTTTATTTCTGTTTGCATCTGTATCTGGGAAGCAAATAGGGTTGTGTGTGTTTTTTTTCTGGTGTTGAATACTGGAATTAAAAATCTTTGCAGGGAACACTTAATTACCTCCAGTTTTTCAGTGTTGAAATCAGAGAAAGCTAGAGTTTTCCTCTGATCTTAATTTTCCAAACGATTGCCAAGTAGAACATCAAAAGGAGTAGATATTTTCCTTTCCAAATAGCCCATACATAAACATTGCCTTAGACAAAATACAATAATAAGATTATCGACCGTGACTATTAATATTAAAACAAATATTAGCATTAGCCAAATTCGTTGAGTATGTACCATATGACGGGCATTGTACCAGAGAAATTAACTGCATAATCTTATTGAATCATCACAACAATCTTAGAAGTTAGGGCCCATTGTTACCCCCCATTTTTAAGATGAGAGACCAAAAGAAAGTGAGCAACTTGCCCAGGGCTACTCAGCTGGGAAGTGATAGAGCTGGACCCACCCTGGTTTATCTGACTCCAAAGTCCAGCTTTTTACCCAGTCATAGGTGGCAGGAGGGTTGACACCAGAAGACTTTACTCCTTTTCCTATCTAATAAAAGAGAAACATGCAAATTGACCATACCTCTGCTATGCCCACAAGCCACATTCACCAGCCAATCAGGAGTGAGTATGTAAATTAACCCAACCAAGATGTCAGCTAATTTGCATATCCAGGCACAGAGTGAAGACTGAAAACAGTGTAGAAGAAAGCCAAGTGAAGCTATGGAAAAGCAAGTAGGCAAGATAGAAGGGAGGGAAGCAGACCACCAAAGGAAGCCCTATTGTAGGAATCTTCCTGCAATGGGCCTCTAGTTTGATATATGCTTGAAAAACAATTCAAAGGAGGAACAGCAATAACAAAAGACTCAAGATTCATTCTGTGATTTACTTCTTCTTTTCTTAAATTCTCACCTGAGGATATTTTTCCATTGATTTTTAGAGAGTGTGGAAGAGAGAGGAAAAGACAGGGAGAAACAAGGCCCCAAAGGAGCCTACAACCGAGAAGCATGCCTTTGACCAAAATTGAACCTTTATCCATTGAGCCAAACTGGCTAGGGGGTGTGATTG